AGGGATTGATACTTAAGAGAGAGACTCTTATTGATATAAGCAATCGGGTGACCCTTTTGCATCACAACAACCCCTATACCTCTATCGAAGCATCTGTTTCTATTACAAATTCATCCCCCATCCGTGGTAATGCAAGTACATGTGTTGTGGTCATAGCTTTCTTCAATCCAAGTAAAAGCTTCCTCCGCCAATAGACTCTACGCAAAGGCATCCTTCTTCAACAATTCTATCAAAGGCTCGGCTATCTTCCCATAGTCCTTCACAAATCTCTTATAGTATCTCGTTAGACCTAAGAACCCCCTCAATTGCTTGACGATCTTAGGTATAGGCCATTCGTCGCACGACTTTTATCTTCTTGGCATCGGTTTAGACTCCTTCTTTAGAAATATAATGCCCTAAATACTCCACACATGTAGCTCCAAATAGGCATTTGGATTTTTTGGCAAACAAGGTATTTTCTCTCAAAATGGACATAGTAGTTTGTAAATGAAAAGCATGATCCCGTAAATTTTTGCTAAAAACTAAAATATCGTCAAAAAATACTAAAATGAATTTTCATAAAAAAGGTCAAAAAACATCATTCATAAGGGATTAGAAGGTTCTAGGAGCATTAGTTAGACCAAATGGAATAACTAAGTACTCATAATGCCTATTATGAGTTCTAAAAGATGCTTTTGGTATGTCTAAATCATGCATGCGAATTTGGTGATAACCAACTCGCAAATCCAATTTTGAAAACACGATTGATCCTTGCAATTCATCCAAAAGTTTCTCAATCACGGGAATTGGAAATTGATATTTGATAGTCAATTGATTCAACTCTCCCGTAATCTACGCACATCCTCCATGTGCCATCCTTTTTTTACTAACACCACGGACGAAGAGAAGGGACTATTACCGCTTTGAATTATCCCATTCTCTAGTATTTCCTTAACTCTGTCGCTCTATCTCATTTTTTTTAGTAGAATGATACCTGTATGGCTTCATACTCACGGGTTCAGCCCCTCTTTAAGGATAATTATGTGGTCATGCATTCTTGGTGGAGGTAACCCCTTAGTTTTTGCAAACACGTCGTCAAATCTATCTAGTATACTTGTTAACTCTAAAGGAGTTGGTCGTTCGCTTCTATTCCTCAATTTGCAATCGCCATATCTTCCATCGCCATCGGTGAGCTTAATTAAATCCAATTAAGTGAATTTCATCTACAAATAGCCTTATCAACCTCCTTATCCTCCCGACTTTTACTACCGTTAACACTCTTCCCTTATAACACCACTCACTTCCTAGTAAGTTTAAATTTTATCCACATCTATCTAAAATTCCATGTAATATCACCTAAAGCATATAACCATGCTCCCCCAAAATCATATCATATAAACCTAATTGCATAACAAAAATTATTTTCTCAAAAGTTTCCCCTTGTATTTTCCATTTGAACTCCTTACACATATATTCACATACAATGTCATTATCGTCGACTACCCTCAATCTGACTGGTGCAATTTTAACCAATTCACACTTGTTCAACCTAACAAATCTCACATCAACAAAGTTATGAGTATCGCTAGTGTCCACCGAATGTTCATTCGTTTATTCCGCAACTTCCCTACAATTTTCATAGTTTGATAATTTTCTCCACCAAAAACTCGCAAATACGAATATCTCATATAGCTCCTCTCCGAATTTTTCCCTATTTTGCATATCCTCCTCTCGCTAACTCAACATCTACTACTTCAGAATCCTCACCCTCCCTTCCATCTTCTTCCACTTCTAACATGAATACTTGCCTACCCTTGCACTTATGCCCCGGTGCATACTTCTCCTCACAAAAGTCACACTCGTCCCTCGACCTCCTTGTTACTAGGTAGTCTCTTGGTTCTAAACACTCGAGTTGCCATCCTAAAATTGATTCGGTAATGGTAACAAGCCTTTTTGGGTATTGGGAGGGTTGTGGTTATAGGACGTAGGTAGATTTTGATTTGAAAAGTTTGTAGGTTGTAGGTATTATTTTTGTTCAATCTTGGGTTGAAAACAAGAATGGTGTTTGATTTCGATTTAGTAACGAAGGATTATGGTAGTTGAGTCCGTTGGATTGTTGTTGAACAATAGGATGTGTTTCTTGTAGTTTGGCTATGGCCACGACTTCTTTAAGAGTCTTGGGTCTCATTACCTTAACTAGTACTTGTAACTTAGGTCTTAAGCCACCAATGAAGCGACTAATGATGTCCTTAGGTAGAACTAACCTATTAACCACATAAATGAATTTCTTAAGGAAGGTTTGAACATCACTAGTTTGTCTAATTTCCATCGGTTCTGCCATTGGATTGTTGAAAATCATAGCACCAAAACGAACACTTATAACTTCAACATAATCTTCCCACCTCACAACGAATTAACTCCATTCATTCTCATGATGACTTGATGCCATTCAAGAGCCTCTTCTTCTAAGTGTATAGCAGCCAAATTAAGCTTAGCTTCCTCGGGAGTTCTATCAATTAGAAAAAAACTTTTCACATCTAAAAATCTATCCTTCAAAGTCTTCTCTAGCAAATCTTAACAATTCGACTCTACTCATCCTAGTATTAAAGGAGTAACCGAGTGTTATCTACTACACCATTGTTATTTATCACTCCATTCATTGGATACCCCCGCCTAGGCATTCTATATCCCCTATCATTCAAATTGCCTATTTCTTCCTCCATATTATAGTTTTCTTTCTCCTGTATTGGAGCTTAAAGTGCGATAACTAATTCCTTCAACTCAACAATATCCTAATCATGTTTGCAAAAATTGAATCACATCATAAGGTAAGATCGGTTATTACCTTAGTGAGTGTAGCAATTGATTCTTCCATCTTTTTGAGATCGGCATTTCCTTTCGCCATAATTGTTAATTTTTCTAGAATCCACAAGTGCTAGAATAAGCTTTGATACCAATTGATGCAATCTCAAATTCAAGTAACAAAAACAATTGAAAATATTACAAGTTATTGAAAAGGAAAACCAATTTTATTGAATGAAAAACACAAACAACGATGAATCGTAGTGATTGGAATTGAAATACACGAGAACTTATGAAGAATTGACAAATCCGAAGAATGACGGATGAGAGAGAATAATAGAGAGAAAAGCCAAAGAGAATTTCGGAGAGAAAATATAATGACAATGCCTAACCCTTACAATAAAACTCATTTCTCTATATACTACTCCCTCTCGACTCTAACCCACCTTAACTAACTTCCTAACCGACCTCTAGAAGACCGGATGGCATAAGTCACACAAAACCAACATCTAGAAGAACCGAAAGGTGCTTGGTAGGCTTCAATCAGGCGGAGGCTTTGATGGCTACACAAACCGAGTCCGATGATGAGTGTCATAAAAAATTCTCAAAACTCCTTTTTTTTTTTTTAAGAACATAATAAAATTATAAGGAAATCTCACACAAGTTTATATTGATTAATTGAAAATTGATGAAAAAAGAACTATTTTTTTTAAAAAAAATAATCACTTCTAGTTGATGAAGAGCTAAATATGAAATTAAAATTAACATTAAATGCCAACATAATAAAAACAAGTGTAGGAAATAAATAAAAAAATAGATCAAAAAGTTGTACTTTCAAAATACAAACAACTTAAGCTTGATTTAAGGTTTGAATCACTAAAAAGATTTGGAATAGAATTTTCAAAGTTGATTTTTGACTTCGAAGGAGGTCTTTATTCCGTAGATGAATCTATTTTTTTTTAATTGGATTTACAAACCCCTTAGGAATTTATTAATGGATTCAAGGAATCTACAAACATTATGAGACTTCCATTGATAATCTCGAGAATCTAAGTGTCCTTTTCTCCTCAAGATTCCAATCTGAATTTGAAAGTGAGAAGCATCAATTAATAGAAGGAAATTGAAGACAATGAACTAACACCTTCTCCCTCGTTCCCCAAATTGAAAAAAATAAAAAAGTCAAATAAAGTAGCTCGTTTCAAATGGTAACACGAATTTTATCATCGAACCGTAGTTCAAAAGGAAGATTCAAACCTTGACCATCACTAATGCCACATAGACACCAACGAGTAAAAGGAGGAGAAGATCGAACTCGCTCGGCAACCTTCTACATGCTTGTTTGATCAATTTTATTCATTCGAAAAGCTGATGTACCAATGATTGGATCGAGTTTTAGGATCTTTTCCAAGTTGTTGGATGTTTGAATAAATTTATTACCATATTAAATTTAATAATTAATTTTGGATTGTATAAAAATATTTTAATTTTATGATGGACGGTTTATTACCAACTTTATATTTTAATTTTGTTTTGTTCAATTATTAAACGTGGAATTAGTTTTGTTTTTTTGTTTTTTTTTTTTTTTTTTTTTTTTTTTTTTTTTTTATGGTAGCAGATACTAGGCCTAAGAGCTCAAAAACAAAGAAACTAAAACTTCGACGACGGCCAATAGCTATTCCTGTGACATCCTAATGCAAGAGATCAACTATTTTTATAGGAAAGGAATCAAGATAATTAACTCCTAGTATTAGAATAAAGATTTTGAGATTAGCCAATCAATCTATACTACGATTTCCTTCTCTGAAAGCGTGAAAAACTCAAACTTTCCTATCGTAGCTGATAAATTTTAAGATTTCATGAAACAGAGGATCACAGGAACCACCATTTGAAGCCTCCTCCAGAACAGACGAGTCCATTTCCAGTATTACTCATTTGAATCAAAGCTGCCGAGCTAACTTGAGACCCAGCATAGCAGCCCACATTTCAGCCTTGGCAAAATTTGTCCTTTAGCACAAAGGAATTAAAATATCACGAAAAAAAAAACCTTGAAAGCCCTTCTTATTAATTGGGTTTCCTTAAAAAATACGAATGTCACTCTCTGTCGTGGTTATAAAGCTAGCTACTCCCTCAACATAGATAGAGTTCTTCATCTCTGTATAAAAACATACATAGAGCTCTCCTAGTTACGTTGGTTCAGGCTAAGGGTCCTTCATAATAGTTCAAAGTGCATGAGCTTTGCATTCGTGGTCCAATGTAAAAGGTGAGCCAAGGGCTACTGACCATCCCAAGGCAACATCTGTGGCTCTACCATCGGCATCCTGTGTATATGCAACAATGAACACCTGATGAGTAATTGGAATGATATGAGTCCTCATGCACATGCACAGGTTCAGTGCTATGCGTGTGCGCATGAATTGAGAGATAAAAAAAAAAACGGAGAGAACCTGGTGGACAGATAAACTGGAATTAATTCCGGCACCATTTTTGATCTTCTGGCCTTGAACATGGTCTCTTCTTACAGAATGGGCCTCCACCAGGGGACACACAGCAACCACACTGATGTTCTTTGGGAAATCAAGTCCAATTGACTGCAAATGCTCAATAAGAAATCCATGGGGCAACCCAATCTTAAGCATAAAATTTCTCCTTTATGCCACAATATTCTAGGTAGTGAGCACATTTAAGAATCAACTTTGTTGTAAACGTAACCAAATACCCCAACTGCAAAAAAAAATAAACTTTAATCAAAGAGCACCATCAATGCTACTATCAGATTCATTCACAACTACTCAAGAACACTCATCAGGCTTGGGAGAAACAAATGCCAAGATCGCCCAATATCCTAACTAAACCTTGAACCAGACAGGAATTGACGGAATATAATTGTAAAACAGAACAGATGTCTGTAACCTGATAGTGCAATATACCTTTGCTAAAACATATTTTCATCCTACTTAGGTCACATACTTTAATTTCTCCAGAGTCAGGAAGAGTGTATCCACCTGAGAACCCCATCCAATCACACCAATCTGCTTAATTCCCTTGAATGCATCCCGAAGCAAGGGAAACAAATCCCTGCCTCCTCTCACAATGTACTGCAATACAATTGTATAAACCATCATCAATAACCAACGTTTCAAACACAAAAAAGAAAAACAAAACAGAAATCGAAAATCTAAGAAAAGCTAAGACGTTGCAATGAAATGCAAATCGTGTCTCTCTTACATAGCCTGATGGGGAGATCTTTTTACTGCTTTCAAAGCAGGTATGAAGACCAGGACTTACAGTACGCGGTAGCGGTGACTCTATATTTGCTGTGCCGTCCCCCGCGCAATCGCCTCCTCCATCTCCACCAATACCATTACTATTTTTAAGCAGCTTCGTAAAATTTTTCAAGACATGTGCAAAGAGGATGACAAGTGACAGCCACTGACCATGTTGCAGATATCCGATGGAGTTAGATGATTTTGGAGGAGCATTGAAGAAAGGGAGAGGAGCAGAGACGACGCACTGAGTTTCAAATCGTAATTCCTTTTCCTGACCACCGGCAGGGGAGATCTCTTCCTTCTTGCTGTAGGAGGTCCCGATACCAAGAGAAAATGAGGACGGTTTCTTATTATGATCAAAAGGTGCCAACGCCATTTTAGTTTTAGAACGGAGAGTTGCAGCCACTGGCTTGGGTTTGAGTGGTACGAAGGATAAGCGAGTTAAATTGGTGTTGCATCGAGATTTTGGTAGCGGTTTTGGAGTGGAAGAAGAGAAGTAAATTGCCGCCACTTCGGTGTAGAAAATGTAGCGGCTTTTTGAAATGGTAGGTGGATGTTTGGTTGGGTTTATTTATAAGCATAGACCTGCATGGTCTGCGTTTTCGGGCAAGGATATATCCGAAACATTAGGATACGTGCTAACCCGAAACATAAGTACACGAGACGATGAAGTGAAAGGCACCAATCTGAAGATTCAAACTAATATCCGCTAATAACTGCATAGTTCCAAGAATCTATGAACCCGACCCAATCCAACCCCAAATCTAATGTTTCATACGGCGTTGAATTTGTCGGCTTTGGATCCTGTGGTGACACATGGCACCATGAGGTTTCCGTCTCTTTTTTTGCGCGGTTTTAGAGACTAGTGGGCAAGTTAGTCATTTCATAGTTTTGAGTAGTTAGTGGTGCTGGTAATTTGATTTTTTGCAATACAATAAAACACTCCTGCAAGAAGCTTGTAAAGATCGCCTCACCCCTGGTTTTTATGGTGGCCCATAATTAATTTTGGGACATCTTGATGTAGCTAGTGCAGTGCTGGAATTCCTCTGATTTATGATGACTACTTACAAAGAAGAGTGGTGGAGATACTGAAGTAGGCCACTTTCTTGCAGGCTCTTTCCACACCAGGACATCAGATCCATACTTGACAAATTTTTAGAGCTCACAAGTTTTGGGACATCAGATCCTTATTTGATCCTTCTTTGTCATCTTTTTTCAGGAGATCTCTGGTAAGCACATGATTTCTTGGTGATGGATGTGACATTTATAATGTATATTTCTTCTTACTGTGCTTAGAGGGCGGTGATATAGTTTTTATCTTGTTCTATGAGAATTCGAGAGTTGATTATGTTACAAATGACTTTTTCCTTGCATAATAGATGGCTGAATATAATGCACTTGTTGAAATGTATGTTACTGATGGCATGGTAAGTGTTTATTCTCTTGATTTAAATTCCTTTTGGAAGTTTTTTGATGATATGTTTCTTTTTCAGAAAGTTTGGATAATTGATGGGAGTTGGCTTTTAGTCTTTTGTGGCATATACTTGAATGTGTGTGTATTCGCATGAATCTCATGCTTTGAAAATGTTTGAACTCTTTCCAATTTAACATTTATTTTTCTTGAAAGCGTATAGTCTTTCGCATTGGTAATATTAAGAAGAAAATGTCTCGCGGAATCAAAGACAAGTCCGAATTGATTGAAGAATACATTATTGGATTACTTGAAGAAATCAAAGGGTTTGTGGGAAATTGTGTGCTTGCACAGATGTAGGACTTCCATGGTGAGTGAAAAGAAATTTTAATTGCGGAAGTAGTGAAGAGCATTAGGGGATCATTTGAGGCTCCGTATTCTCAATCAGTACATCACATTTGTATCTTAATAAGCTATTTAAACTTTGCCTCTCATTGGGTAAGGCTTACTGAAGTATGAATTGCAATAGAAACAGATAGGCAAGTTGCTGGAAATGGATAGTTGGAGGGAGTATGAGTATGAAAGAGATGAAGATTGATTAAGAGCAGATTTGTTCCAGGAATAAAGCACGATTGGGAGGTTTTGTATTTCTTTTGAGGGAATAGGAGGGAAAAAGAAGAGTTAAAAAAACTTTAGATACTGAAGATTTATCATAAAGCTTGTACACATTGGAAGTAAATTAAGTTAGAATATAAAAAATGAGATATTTGTTGACTTTAATGCTTAGTTGGGATTTGGGTCCCGGGTAGCCCGCACCACAGTTTTACCTCTAGTATGGTCCCCATCTCCCTGCCTAGTATTTTGGCAGAAACCAAGCAATGAAGATGAACTAGGTAAAAGTTTAAGGGAAAAGATTAACCAAAAATTCTAGCATCGATCATTCATCCATATAAGTCATAATTAATATTTAAGCTGCTGAAATTGTGAGATTGAATGTTAAGGTTGAATCGCATTGAAATTATAGGAAAATCTATCTTAGATTAGAAGAGAGTGATTATCAGGTCTTAATTAACTGAAGAATACATTGAATGGAAGTTACACTTACAGGCACACCAGCAGGCAAACCAAGCTCATTCAATACCATAATCTAAAAGCATTTACGGAGTCCGAGGTTATTTTTTTCTGGTGACTCTAGCTCTAGTCTACCAAACATCCACTTACCATAGAATTAAACCAACATCCTTCCCTAGTTTGTGACTGTACTGGCCATGGAACCTTGTTCTTGGAACTCAACAAACATGTAAGGCTTTCATTTTGAGAGATTAAATGATGGGTTTATGGTGAATTCTGGGTTACAATCCAAAACCAGAAATGGTTTTGTTCAACTTCCTCTTTGGTTTTGGATAATGAAAGAGGAGCGCTTGTGGAGGCTACTGTTAGAGTGGAGAGAAAAGGATTGTCTGCAGAGAGGAGCGCTGCTGCTTTTGGAAATCATAGTGAGGCAGAGAAAAAACAATAGAGCCAGGATCACATCTTGATACACATAGGAGCCTAGAGAGTGTAAATAAAACGGTTGGAAAAGGGAGCAAAATGCTTGCTTCCAGAGCTTTTTTTTTCTTTGTTCTGATCACATTAAAAAAAGTGTAATTATTGGCAAGTAGCGACCAAAGACAAGGAGAAAGGACAAATGTCGTTGTTGTGTACGGATAGAACCGCACTTCTAAAAGGATCTTAATTGTTACAAGGACAGGAAGCAAAAAAGTAGAACTATCAACATCCAATAAGGGGTTTTCAAGTATCCCAGAACCAAAACCAAAAGCCAACATCTAGAAGAACCGAAAGGTTGAAGATAGGTTTCAACAGGACAGAGATTATACGACCATATGAATCGAGTCTGATAATGAGTGTAATTAAAAATTTTATGGGATTTGGTATCCTCAAAACTACTTCTAGAAAAAAAGAACATAATAAAATTATAAGAAAAGGCCACAAAAGTTTATATTGATTAATTAAAATATTAACGAAAAAAGAACTAAAAAAAGTTTAGATAGTCCATTCTAGTTGATAAGAACACGAATAATCAGAGCTTGATTTACATGCTGAATGGTAAGAAAGGTTTGGAATAGAATTTTCAAAGTAGGTTTTTTAACTTCGAAGGCGGTCTTTAAACTGTAGAAACACAGGATGCCCATTTTAACTTCGATGTGGATAAAACAAGGAGGCCATTAAAATAAGCTAATGATCCATAATCTTATAAATATGCGCAGAAACCAAACCCCACAGGAATTTATTAGTGTATTCAAATAATCTACTAATTTTTAGTGTTCTCGTAAGCTTCATCCTCACTCATTCCATTTTTAGCGTACCATCGAAATAAGAAACACAGGATGCCATGAACAGCACCTGGTAAAATGCCTACAAAACATCAAAGCATAAAATCAGGCGTCAAGCAGCAGGTGCAGAAATAAAATTTAGGGAACTACACTCACCCTGCTCCCTCAAGATATCACTCTTGTATTCCTGCTCTAGTGTAGTGGCAAATGTGACAAGCGAACCAATGGCCACTGACAATGCCAAGGCAACATCTGTGGCTCTACCATCGATATCCTGTACATATGCATAGGAAAAAATAAACACCAGAAGAGTTGGTGAAATTAGGTAAGTACTGATGCACATCAACAGGGCTGGTGTGTGTGCATCTGGGTGGAGCTCATGGGTACATGCAACCCAAGAGAGAGAGGTAACCTGGTGGACTGCAAAACTAGAATTAATTCCAGCACCATTGATCTCTTTTCCTTGAACATAGAGTCTCCTTACGGGACCTATTCCCTTAGGGCAAACAGTAATCACACCAATATTCTTTGGAAAATCAAGTTTCATTGACTGCAAATGCCCAAGATGAAATCCATCGGAAAGCCCAAGGATGCTGTTTGGCTTCATGTGGGAGAGAACCTTTTTGTAGTCATCTGCCTGCTGAATGAAATAAAATAAAACTAGAATTTTTCAAAGGAGCAAGACATAAAAACCACCGAGAAAGTAATCATTGACAAATACTAGACCAAAAAAAAAAAAAAACAATACAGATAGTTCATAAAAAGAGAAAAAAGAAAAAAAGAAAAAAAAGAAAACCCAACTCTGATAGTCAACAGCTGCAAAAAAGAATGGAATACAGATCATTCAGGAACTTGCTATTCGTTTTGACGCTAAATTAGCTGCAGTGATAAGAGGAGAAAGCAAAAGGTAGAGATTGGTTTTGGCTAGCGCACTATCAGATATAATGGTGGAGGTTCAGGGGTTTCTTTCAAATAATATCTGTGCTAACAACCGTTTGAGTGATAATCAAGTAGGGTGGAAGCCTAGTCCTCATGAAAATTTCAACCCAGGAATGCATGGACCTCATCAGGAAAAGAAAAAAGAGCTAAGGTTGATCAGCATTAACCTAATTTGGGGATCATTACCTATTCCCAGGGATAGTTTTATTGCTTGACTTGCAGCGCATAACAGGCTATCTTCCAGGGTTTGACAATTATACACATGTAGGAATATTAATGCAGAATCGTCTGTCCATCTCTCCTTACTGTAAAGATGTTCGGAGTGAAGTTCTGCAGAGTGTGGGTATTGAAGAAAACACTGGAGGATGGATGATGGGGTTTGATTGAGCCAAGAGGGTCTGCGATAGAAGAATTTCCATGCTTTTGTTGCAAGACTACCTAGGAATGCTACAATCTATGGAATCTAGGGGCAATGAAACGAGAGAAAGCTCATTAACGGGATATTTTCTGCAATTTCTAGATACTGGATGTTTGTATGGGAACCCCTTTGTTTGATTGTACTTGGTGCTAGTTGTGATAGGAAACTTCCCAATATTTTCCTTTAATCAATGAAATTAAACAGCTGCAAAAGTATGGAATATAAGAGATAACAAATCAAATTTAAAGTTCTGTTTCATTAGCTCAAACTGGCCTTGAAGCAACCAACAAAGTTAAAACACGCGCAACAAATATCAGAGCCCTTACCTCCCTTTGGTATGTAGAAAAAAACAAGGTGAAAAAACAGCTAAAAATGTTTTGGAAAATAAATTTTTATCTTCAATCATCTCAGCTTGGGATGACATGCCAGAGCTTTCTTTTCCTTCTTCTCCTTCCCCCTCACAACATGAGCTCTCATCTAAAAAGCTAAAATAATACTTTCATTTGTTTAACCTAAATCTATCTCAGCAGACATGAATTGAATATTTCAACCAAAAACCTTGAGAAGTAGGAACGCAAAGAGCATAGTATGAACAAACCTGTGCTGCATCAGAAATCAATGGCAGCACTAGATCGCTTCCTGAAACAGTATCACAAATATCACCTAAAGTGTCATTCTCTTCGGTAAAACCACAAGCACGTGCTTCGGCAAAAGAACAAGAGCCAGTCCTGAGGCCAATCTGTATCATATTCAGACAGGAGAAATTAATCATCAACGTCCAAGCAACTCGCTAAACAATTAAAAGCGTAGATGACAGAACATAAGGGTGAATTGTGAATTACCTTGACTTTTATGTCAGACTTGGCTTCAGCAAGAGAATCCCTTAAGTTCTGAGCTTGGGCAGCACCCTTATAATGAATGAGGAGCTGTTAGCAACTTAAATCAACAGTCCACAGTAAAGGAGAGATTTACTAGGGTGGAGCAAAAGGGTTTTTTGGTTGCTTAAAGCCCAAACAATGAAAATCAACAGAAACAATTCTGTTATTGGAAATAAGACAATGTATAGATAATCTTAAGTCAGTCAAATTCTGTTTTTTTTTGCAAAGAGAGAGAGGCAATATTCACCTGGGAACCCCAAACAATGACACCGATCTGCTTAATCCCTTTGAATGCATCAGGCAACAAGTGAAACAAATCCCGTCCTCCTCTCACAATGTACTACAATACAGTACATACAAATCACCATCAATAACCATACTTTGCAAATTAATAAATAAGGCCTGTACTAGTTTTTGGTGCTCTAAAGAAACAATGAGATGTTAAAAAGAAGCTATATTGATATGACTTCTCTTCATAATTCATCCAATCACCAAATAGGGGGAAACAAAAACATTAGAGAGAGACAAAGAAAAGTACCATAAAAGTGTCAGAACCTCAAACATCCACCTTTGATTATGAAATAAATAAATAAATAAATAAAAATTGAAGTCTGCATTCGATAGCCAAACACGAAAGTGAAAACTATAGAAATGAAGCTAAGAGTTAAACCAAATGAAATCAAACTGAAAAGATGTCAAAAAAAAGAAGAGAATTGAAATACCTCATCTTGTCCACCGAGAGTGATCTTCTCCTCCTTAAAAACAGAGGTCTGACAATTAAGGGAAGTTAAAGGTTCCTTTTCACCTGGCGCCAAAACCCTTTTAGCTGTTCCACCACCAGCCAAAAAGGTACCAAACGTATCTCCTATCTTCTTGGTAATCGAAGAAATCATCCCGGATTCTGGTGCGGATTGCATAGACTTTCCAGTCGCAGAAACATAACAATGAGCTTCAAATTGTAATTCTTTTTCTTGGACAGCTGGAGAGATTTTCTCCTTCTTACTAAATGAGGTACCAACTTTACAAGAAAACGAAGGATTCTCTTCAGACACCGATAAAACCTTCTTAGACCGACCTACATGAAGGTGAAGTGGCTTATGAATTAGGTTGCGGTTGGAGAGGGAAGATAGAGAATGAAATGAATTGTGGTTGCAAAGTGATTTTTGTGATAATTTCAAGGAATTTGATGGGGCTGCTATGGAGGCAAGAGAGAAAGAAAAAGCTGCGGCCATTTTAGCTGATAACCAAGAAGCTGGTGAAACACCAGCGAAAGTAGGTGGGGTTTCTAGGTTTGGTGCTATTGTCCGCCTCGAGCGTTAATACGGTAAAACTTGTACTAATATCACGTGCGTTGCCACACGCTCGAGAACCACTTGGATAATCACCATTACCAGATAGGCCTATTAAAGCCAACCGACTTATCCATCTTTGGAATCTTTCAACTTTAAGGATGACAATTATAAATTATTCTTATTATATTATTTTTATCTCAATTTAATCCCTCAGCATAAAAATCTTTTATTGAGTGACTTTATTTGGTATCAATTAACAATTATACTGATAATTTTATTTGATGCATATCTATATGCATACGGTTACAATTACAATTTTTCCTTAAAAGCATGAAAATCTCAAGCTTTCCTAACATAGTTGATAAACTCAACTTTCCTATCATAGCTGAGAAATGTTAAGATTTCATAAAATAAAGGATTACAAGAACCTCTATTTGAAGCCTCTATCAGAACAGATGAGTCCATTTCTAGCTTTACTCGTTTGAATCACATTTGCCAAGCTAACTTGAAAAAAATGATCAAAGTGAGGAGGTAGATCCAGTGTTTTTAATGTTAGAGGTAGATAGAATTTGATTTAATCTAGTATTAGAGATATGATTATATCTTTTAGTATATATTCATCGTAAATTCATCAATACAATACACATTATGATCAAAAAAAATTATCTTATTAATATTTATTGAATAATAAAAAGCAAATCCAAAGAAAAGAGATAAATAGAAGAGAGAGTTAAAAAAAAAGGTTTAAATAGAAATATTGCTATCAATTTTGATGAGTGGTTATGTAATTTTTTTCTCTTTTTCTTTAGTATTTTAAAATTTCTTTTTAATAACTTTTAATTTTTCTATGATAACTTTTTAATACATTTTCAGCGAATTTTGAGAGTTTAGATTTTTTTTTGCTTTGGTTGTACGAATTCTGGATTTTTAATCATGATTTTGATCCTACGTAGCAATTCATCCTTGATGTATTTAAAAAAAAAATTTAGTTTTTTTTCTCCTATGAATTTATAAACCAGGTGGGTGCGTTGTTGTGCTATTGTGAACCTTGAGCGTAATACGCTACAAATTGTAATAATATCGCTTGCGTTGCCACACATTCAAGAACCACTTGCACATCACTGTTACCAGATAGACGTATTAAAGCCAACCGACTTATCTATCCCTAAGATCTTCCAACTTTTAAGGATGACAATTATAAATTATTATTATTATGTCATTTTTATCTCAATTTAGTCCCTCAGCAAAGAAATCTCTTATTGAGTGACTTTATTTAGTATCAACTAGCATATATATAATATTCTTATGTGTTCATTCATATAAAATACAAAATTTAAAAATAATTATGTAAAATGATCACACAAACTAAAAATTCAAAGTGAATTATACAACATTCTTATGTATTCTTTCATATAAAATACAAAATTTAAAAATAATTATTTAAAAGGATCATGCAAAAAAAAAAAAAAAACCAAAACATATATCTTATATTTTGTCGTAAGGTTAGCTAAAAGAAAAGCTCGCAACAAAGTTGAGTAATATAATGTTGCTCATTAGATATTATTTGATATAAACATGTATTTTATTATAAATATATATAATAACTCGGTAATTGAAAAATAATGTGGTAGTTTTTTGAATTTTAGATGATTAATTTTTATCATATATTCTTTATCCGTAATTTGTTAAAGAGATATAGAGATCACCCAAAACAAAAAGACAAAAAACTTTGTAAAATTGAGAATTTGACAAAAACAATAGAGATAAAATTACAAATGATCAAAATTAAATGATTAAAACAAACTAAAGATCATGAAAGAATGATAAAAAAAAAATTCACTAAAAGCAATATATATATATAACACAATAAGACTGTGAACAGTTTTACTAAAAGCCAAGAAAAAAATATTTATTATAGGAAAAAAATCAAATATGATAAAATTTTAATATTTATTATAGGGACAAAAAATAAGAAATAATAAAATTTAAATGGCTAAAATAATAAAAGGTTACAAAACAGGAACTAAAATAAAAATAAAATTCGCTAAAAGCCAAAAGAGGGGCTTAAAAAATACCGAAAGAGAAAAAAATGATTTACTCTAGGAATAAAAATTAAATATAATAAAATTTTAATGATCAAAATAAAAAAGTTACAAAACAAGGACTAAAATAAAAATAAAATAAAAATTTAATTTTATTATAGGGACAAAAATGAAATAAAATAAAATTTTAATAACCACAATAAAAAAAATTACAAAAAAAGAATCAAAATAAAAATAAAATTCACTAAAAACCAAAAAAAGAGCTTAAAAATTATAGCAAGAGGAAAAAAAACTGATTTATTACAGAACTAAAAATCACATATAATAAAATTTTAATAACCATAATAAAAAAAATTACAAAAAAAGAATCAAAATAAAAATAAAATTCACTAAAAACCAAAAAAAGAGCTTAAAAATTATAGCAAGAGGAAAAAAAACTGATTTATTACAGAACTAAAAATCACATATAATAAAATTTTAATGATTAAAATAAAAAAAATATAAAATAAGGACTAAAATGTAAAATTAATTTAAGCCAAAAGAGGTTTAAAGCAGCAAGCAAGAAAAAAAAAAAAAAAAAGAGGCCTACAGGCAAGGTAAGGGAATGGGGAAAAAGAGGAAAGAGAGAGGAGAAAAAAAAAAACTTAGGCTATAGGCAAGGAACTTGAGCTATAGTACTTTAGGGTTTTGTTTTCCTTTTTTTTTTTTTTTGTAATTATAATGAACAGTTATACTAATGATTTTATTTGATGCATATTCGTGTACATACGGTTATAACTACAATTTTTCTTTAAAAGCATGACAAACTGAAGCTTTCCTCTCATAGTTGACAAAGTCAAACTTTTCTGTCATATTTAAGAAATTTTAAGATTTCATAAAACATAAGATGACAGGAATCTCCACTTGATGCCTCCACCAGATGCAGTAATAAAGTTCATAAAATCTATGGATCCAATCAGGCTTAAAATTCCTAGAATCTATAGACCCAACCAGGCTTTGGATCCTGGTAGCAACACATGACACCTTGAGGTTTCGGTCTCTTTTTTTGCAGCGTTATAGAGGTCGAAGGGCAAGTTAGTTATTTCGATGATTCGAGTAGTTAGTGTTAGTTAATTTAAAGATTAATGTTTCAAGATAGATCCTCAACTGTTTTATTTGCTTTAATTATATTTTTTAACTAAATGTTTTATTAATAACATCCATCAATGTTAATTTTTAGTCTTAATTGTGACATTTATTTTTTCTGTCTATTTTTTTTTTTTAAAAACAAATTCTGCAATGAAAAAATAAAAATCCCAAAACATCCCTATGGTAGAAAACCCGTGATCCTAACTTCAGTTTCAAATCTCCCCTTTCCTAACCCTAATTGTCGTAATTCCAAATCTCGTTTCAAAATTTTCCAAGAGACAAGTCACTGATGCGACAACAACTTGACCGTTTATGCACCACTTTCAGGTTTCAATTCAGGCGACTGGAAGAAGAAAAACAATTTTCTCCTCGATTTCGCTAGCACCCTCGATTTCTTGCCAGGTTTAAAATTCATGGCGGCGTCTGCAGAGATTAGCGACGGAGATCACGATGCTGTGGAGCTTATGGTGTGTCTGTGTGACGCTTCAGCATCAGCACCGGCACCTGATGAAATCAGTGGCGATGACTATCTGCTAAGAAGAGAGTGGTGGAGATACTGAAGTAGGCCACTTTCTTGCAGGTTCTGTCCACCAGGAGATCAGATCCGTACTTGACAGATTTTCAGAGCTCACAAGAGTTGTCATTGACTAAAATCCTTCAACCTAGAGGATAAGGGTTTCCCTATTTGATCCTTCCTTGTCATCCTTTTTCAGGAGATCTCTGGTAAGCACATGATTTCATGGTGATGCTTGAGACTTTTATAATGTTTATTTTCTTCTTACTGTGCTTAGAGGGCTGCAACACAGTTGATTCATACCATGTTTTTATCTTGTTCTATAAGAATTTAAGACTTGATAATGTTACAAATGACTTTTTGCTTGCATAATAGATGGCTGAATATAATGCACTTGTTGAAATGTGCGTTACTAATGGCATTGTAAGTGTTTATTATCTTGATTTAAATTCTTTTTGGAAGTTTTTTGATGATATGTATCTTTTTTAGAAAGTTTGGATAATTGATGAGAGTTGGCTTTTAATCTTTTGTGGTATATACTTGGATGTGTGTGTATTCGCATGAATCTCATGTTTTGAAAATGGTTGAACTCTTTCCAATTTGACCTTTATTTTTCTTGAAGGTGTATTGTCTTTGGCATTGGTAATATTAAGAAGAAAATGTCTTGCGGACTAAAAGACAAGTCCTAATTGATTGAAGAATACATTAATGGGTTTGTGCTGCAGCTCATGCGGACAAAAAAATGGAGTCTGGATTAATTGAAAAATCAAAGGGTTTGCACTGCTGTTTGTGGGAAAATGTGTGCTTGCACAGATGTAGGACTTACAAGGTGAGTGAAAAGAACTTTTAATTGCCGAAGTAGTGACGAGCAGTGGGGGATCATTTGAGGTTCTGTATTCTAGATCAATACATCACATTTGTATTTTAATATGCTGTTTAAGATTTGCCTCTCATTCTTCTTTATTAACTATGATCGCTCGTTGCTGAATATATTGAGGCAAAATCATTGGCTAAGGCTCACTGAATTGTGAATTGCAATAGAAGCAGATAGGCAAGTTGATGGAAATGTATAGATTGATTGAATATGAGTATGAAAGAGATGAAAAGAGAGGCAATTTATTTATTTAGTATATGGTCTTTAGCATCCCTATTCTCCACAATTTAAAGGTCTCTAGGACTAAAAGAGAGCGTACGATGGCCGGAATTAGTTGAAGATTACATCAAAGGGTTTAAACTGCTGGTTGTGGGCAAGTGTCCATGCACAAATGTTTAAGGGCAAAGATTTACCAAAAATTCAACCTATCAAGTTTTAATTAATATTTGAGTGGCTGAAATTATAAGAAAAGTTGGATGCTAAGGTCGAACCCCCTTGAAATCTTATATTAAATGCATTTGTTAATCTAAAGCTGAACCATTTATTTCTATATCTGAAGTTGACGTAATTATTCGTTTTTTTTTTTTTCCAATTCTTTATAATATTATTGTTAAAACTATTTAGCTATGCATGATTGAGAAAGAAGAGCATAAAAAAAACATGTCTTTCTGTTGATTTTTTTGAATGTATACTCTCCGCTTGCTAAAAGTATTTTAACCCACCCATTTCCCTTCTCAATCCAACTACCCAGTATACTGGGGTGCTGTAGAGGAGTGTTTGATACGACATACGAAGAAACGCTATACGCTCCTTTTGAGGTTTCTCTCATTAAAATTCTTCTTTCTTGCAAGAAAATGGGTAGGCCTTTTGTTGTGGATGACAACAAGAAGGTGAGGCTGAAGGCAAAGAACCCAATTTGAGTCTGAAGTTTAAGTCTCTTTGAATCATTTGTTGCATTCATGAATATAGTTCCAAGCACAACCCCACCAAGTACTGCCTGTAGTATTCTTGGTGCAAAGAGCTGATTGGTTCTGCAAATGATATTGGAGAATCTCTGACCCAGTATTAAAACCTCCTTGAATCGACCATTGGAGTAAATAGTTTCTTCAATATTGCTGTATTGGTTAGGATTTCTTCTGATGTGCTCATAATCTTGTGCTACATCGGTATCTTCTATTTCACCTTCTTCACTATCTTCCATGCCCAGGGCTTCTGTCATTTCGATAGCAAACTCAAGCACATTAACATGCCTAGGAATGGAATGACCAGCAAATGTAAGCCGCTGCTCGAGGAGATGCAAGGAACCATGATGAAGAATAGTTCCATTTAATAACAACAGAATCTTATCAAATAGCTCAAGAATTTGGAAACCACGTTGATGGATGGTTAGTATGCTTGTTTTATCTTGCTTTATAGCCATAGATTTGAGCAACAAAACTATATGAAGAGCTGATGCTGAATCCAATCCAGATGTTGGTTCATCAATTAGAAGAATAGCCGGTTCATGAACTAGATCTACTCCTACAGAACTCTCACCGCTAGAAATGCCCCGGCTTGATTCACTGCCAATTCGCACATTTGCAACATACTCCAATCCAAGTTCCTTCAGTAGCTCGTTAACTCTAGCTGCAGCTGTATGTAGACTGCCTCGCAGCCTGAGGCGAGCACTGTACAAAACTTTTACCCTGCTTCATGGATTGTTGAAAAAAAGAAAAAAGAATGAAAACAAATGAACTGGAGATGTGTTCGAAAATTAGAAACATTTTCGTTTCCTCATTCCATTTGATGGAACCAAAAGAAACCTTTAAATGCTCATTTTACATCACATTCACATACAAAATTTAAGGAAGCACAGGAATGTCTGCAGACAAAGACATATCATACACGTGCAAAATATCGTTCTCCAGTAAAACCAGCACCACGGGCTTCAGCAAAAGAACAAGAATCCTTCCTCAGACCAACCTATATCATACAAAATGAGCATGGAATGTTATATAGTCAAGCCAGAGAAATTAATCATCCATGTCCATGGAACTTCCTAAACAGGTAAAAGTACCGAACTTAAGACTAAATTGTAAAAAATTACCTTGAATTTTATATCAGACATAGCTTCAGCAAGAGAATCACTTAAGTTCTGAGCTTGAACAGAACCCTTATAATGAATGAGGCTGGTTAGCAATTTATTCTAAGCAATCCACACAGAGACATAACACAAATGCATCAATGGACTAACTCCGAATTAACACACACACTCTGTTTCCAAAAGATTTTCAAGAATGGGAAAGAGGGGCTACAAGTTTCAATCTGCAAGCAGAGCGAAGACACACAAATTGGTTACTGCAAATTTAAGGCAACATGATCAGTTGCTATCACTTGTCATCTCCTTTGCACATATCTTGATAAATTTGACTAAAATCATTATTAAATTGTATTATTTTTTAATTTCCTCCAATATCCTAATACTAGATTTAATATAAATAGATTATTTTAATAGCATGATTTGATAATATGATATATATTTTTTTCTATACATACAGTTAACATCAAACAAATTCTAATGCTAAAGATGCTAGGTCTAAAATGGGATGATAGACAGGTAAATTCTAAACATGCTACCAACACAAATAAGATGATAGGTAGGTAGGTAAATAATATTTCATTACAAATATGTCAAATGGAATGATAAATATATGTAAATAATATCAACCGTCTTATTATATGTGAATTTCTTTCCACACGAACCATTGACATATGTCCATGGAAAGGAACTTCCCCATCAACTATTTTCCACCAAAATGCTTTATCATAATATTGTTTGGTTTTCCCTCCCTTTAACCACAACACACCAATTAGACAAGTTTATTCTATTCAAATGAAAGTTGAAAAAACTTGGAATGCTTTTATCATCTAACTGTACTTCTAAAGGGAGAACCATACCTTGACCATCACCAATGCCACAGAGACACCAGCAGTAAAACGACGGAAAGATCAGACTTGCTCAGCAACCTTCTACACGCTTGTGCTAAAAGGGTTAATTCTATTTTTTTTTTTTTAGAAAAGAAACATATATATGAGGAAACTAAAATTTTAGTGGTATAAATGCAGAAACTTATAATAAGCATACTGATTTGAATGAACCATCATAATATGTTGATTGACTTGTTGCTTTCGTTGGTGGGCTGCGTTTGTGCATGTTTCGTAATTAGTTGCTGCTTGAAGGGTACATTTTAGGGTTTTCAATTCTGTGTAAATTTTAGGGTTTTCAATTCTGTCTAAATTTATCTCATGAGGTTAAAAACTTCTATATTTTTTTTGACAGAATTTCATTGTTGCTGCACGATCAGCATATATATAAAAAGCAGTAGCATTTCCAGAGAGAAAAAAAAAAATCAAATTCGAAGCAAGGAGGTGAGTTGTGAAAGAATAATGGGTATTTAGAGAGATTGAATTGTGGAAATTCGGAGAAATTAGTGGGTCCTCTTCAACGTCCTCTTTGGTTTTGGATGCCATGGAGAAGCAAAGTGTGTGTTTTCCCATGTTGTGGAAGAAGCATGCCATGGAGAGCATAAATTAAAAAAAAGTTGGAAAGGTGAACAAAATGTTTGCATTTTAATGAAATTCTATTCAAATTAAAGAAGAAGTGTATTTATGGACAAGCAGCGTCCAAAAGTGAACAAAATGCCGCCATTGTGTATGGATAGAACTGCACTTTTAGAAGAGTCTTAATTATTGCAAGAAAAGGAATAAAAAAAGACACCAGAAAGTACAAATGCTACATCAAATAAGGGATTTTCAGGCATCGAGAGCATATGGCATAAGTCACATCTGGAAGAATCGAAAGGTACTGGTAGGTTTCAATTGGATAGAGACTTGGATGGCTACACGAACCGAGTATTATTATAAGTGTCATTAAAAATTCTCAAAACTCCCTTCTTTTTTTTTTTTTTTTTTTAAGAACATAATAAAATTATGAGGAAATCTCACAAAAAGTTTATATTGATTAATTGAAAATTGACCAAAAAAGAACTTTTTTTTTTAAATAACCCATTTTATTTGATGAAGAGCTAAATATAAAATTAAAATTAACATTAAATACCGACATAATAAAAAGAAGAACATGAAATAAATAAATAAAAATACATCAGAAAGTTGTACTTTCACAACACAAATAACTTGAGCTTGATTTACGTTTTGAATAGGTTTGAAATAGAATTTTCAAAATAGATTTTTGACTTCGAAGAAGGTCTTTATCCTTTAGATGAATCTGTTTTTTGAATTGGACTTACGAACCCCTCAGAAATTTATTAATGGATTCAAGGAAGCGACAGAATTATGAGACTTCCATTGATGATCTCAAGAATCTGAGTGTCCTTTTCTCCCCAAGATTCCAATCTGAATTTGAAAGTGAGAAGCATCAATTGATAGAAGGAAATTGAAGACAATGCACTATCACCTCCTCCCCTATTCCCATTCTCTAGCTTGGTTTCTGGAAACCATTCTCTAGTTCTAGGGCAACACAGCATTTTATCATCGAACTGTAGTTCAAATGGAAGAATCAACCTCCTACATAGACACCAACAGTAAAAGGACGGGAAGATCGGACTCAACAGCCACTAGAATTGAAACGTACAGAATGCATCACATAACTTTTACCTTTGCTTCATGGATAGTTAAAAGAAGAAGAAGAAAAGATTGAAAACAAATGAACTGGAGATATGTTAGAAAATTGGAGACATTTTCCTTTCCTCATTCCATCTGATAGAACCTAAAGAAACCTTTAAAGAAGCTCAGTTTACATCACATGACTTCACATACAAAATTTAAGGAAGCGCAAGAATGTCTGCAGACAAAGACATATCATAAATGTGCAGTCACTAATGGAAATTAACATACATACAGAAAAGTCGTCTTTCAAATTTTAAACAATATAGAAACATGAGGAAGCAAATTGCTGTAGTAACAGTACATACAGAAAAGTGACCCTTGAAGATGGTCAGAAGAAAGCAATTGCTAGCTATTGTAAGAGCATCAAAGAATGTAATACGAACTTGTATAGAACAGTCTTGTTTTCTCTCTTGTAAGTTATAACAGAGCAACATGGTTTGAATGACATGCCGGATCTTTCCCTTTTCTTTTGTTCCCCAAAGCAATCTATTCATTAATTTGTTTGGCCTAAATCTCAGTAACCAGAAATTGAAAGAAAATACAATAATAACAAATAGAAAAATGTAGACGCAAATTCAGAATTTCAACTACAATATTAATTAACCAACCTGTGCAGCATCAGAAATCAATAGCAGCACCAGCTCACTTCCAGAAATAGTTTCCCAGATATCACCTAAAGTATCGTTCTCTTCAGTAAAACCAGCACCACGGGCTTCAACAGAAGAACAAGAATCCTTCCTAAGACCAACCTATATAATACGAAGTGAGCATGAAATGTTATATAGACAAGCCAGGGAAATTAATCATCCATGTCCATGGAACTTCCTAAACAGGTGAAAGTACTGAACTTAAGAGTGAATTGTAAAAAATTACCTTGACTTTTATATCAGACCTAGCTTCGGCAAGAGAATCCCTTGAGTTCTGAGCTTGAACAGAACCCTTATAATGAATGAGGCTGGTTAGCAATTTATTCTAAGCAATCCACACAGAGCCATAAGAAAAATGAATCAATGGACTAACTCCGAATTAACACATTAAAGGAAACACCTATTATGAAAAGAAGCTAACAGACATCATTCACAAATTGAGCTACTGATGTAAATGCACATTCATAGACTCTGTTTCCAGTTCCTACAGATATTCCAAAAGATTTTCAAGGATGGGAAAGAGGGGCCACAAGTTTCAATCTGCAAACATAGCAAAGACACACAAATTCGGTACTGCAAGTTGAAGGCAATTGTACAAATCTTAAGCATAAAATTTCTCCAGAGTCAGGAAGAGTGTATCCACCTGAGAACTCCATCCAATCACACCAATCTGCTTAATTCCCTTGAATGCATCCCGGAGAAAGGGAAACAAATCCCTGCCTCCTCTCACAATGTACTGCAATACAATTGTATAAACCATCATCAATAACCAACGTTTCGAACAGAAATAAAAGAAAAACAAAACAGAAATCGAAAATCTGATGAAAAGAAAACAAATTAGAGAGAGAAACAATCTATTAGGAAGAAACCTAATTGCGACCTTCGATTATCAAACACTAAATTAAAATTTCTAATATTTGATTATAAAATTCTCAAAGTTGGGCTTTAAATATAGAGAAGGAACTGAAAACAAGAGGATTTTTTTTCTCTTTTTTAATAAAATGAAATGATGCAAAATGGAACACCTCATCGTGGCCATTGAGGATGATCTTCTCCTTGTTGAAAACAGAGGTCTTAAGATCAAGAGACGCCAGAGGCTTTGCCCTTGCCACCAAAACCTTTTCAACAGCAACAACTGAGCCACCATTGTTGTGACCACCATAGCCATCACCACGCCTTTTAGCAATACTAGCTATGATCAGTAGCACAACCACAAGAATGAAAATGATACAAGGTATTAAATTGGGGAGGATTTTTGATGGAAAACCCAACCATGATGCAAGGAATTTTGATAATGCTCCAGCACTGACAAGAAAAGCTGAGACGTTGCAATGAAGTGCAAATCGTGTCTCTCTTACATAGCCTGATGGGGAGATCTTTTTACTGCTTTCAAAGCAGGTATGAAGACCAGGAATTACAGTACGCGGTGGCGGTGACTCTATATTTGCTGTGCCGTCCCCCGCGCAATCGCCTCCTCCATCTCCACCAATACCATTACTATTTTTAAGCAGCTTCGTAAAATTTTTCAAGACATGTGCAAAGAGGATGACAAGTAACAGCCACTGACCATGTTGCAGATATCCGATGGAGTTAGATGATTTTGGAGGAGCGTTGAAGAAAGGGAGAGGAGCAGAGACGGTGCAGTGAGTTTCAAATCGTAATTCCTTTTCCTGACCACCGGCAGGGGAGATCTCTTCCTTCTTGCTGTAGGAGGTCCCAATGTCAAGAGAAAATGACGACGGTTTCTTATTATGATCAAAAGGTGCCAACGCCATTTTTGTTTTAGAACGGACAGTGTTCTCGTAAGCTTCATCCTCACTCATTCCATTTTCAGTGTACCATCGAAACAAGGAACACAGGATGCCATGAACAGCACCTGGTAAAATGCCTACAAAACATCAAAGCATAAAATCAGGCGCCAAGCAGCAGGTGCAGAAATAAAATTTAGGGAACTACACTCACCCTGCTCCCTCAAGATATCACTCTTGTATTCCTGCTCTAGTGTAGTGGCAAATGTGACAAGCGAACCAATGGCCACTGACCATGCCAAGGCAACATCTGTGGCTCTACCATCGATATCCTGTACATATGCATAGGAAAAAATAAACACCAGAAGATTTGGTGAAATTAGGTAAGTACTGATTCACATCAACAGGGCTGGTGTGTGTGCATCTGGGTGGAGCTCATGGGTAAATGCAACCCAAGAGAGAGAGGTAACCTGGTGGACTGCAAAACTAGAATTAATTCCAGCACCATTGATCTCTTTTCCTTGAACATAGAGTCTCCTTACAGAAGGACATATTCCCTTAGGGCAAACAGTAATCACACCAATGTTCTTTGGAAAATCTAGTCTCATTGATTGCAAATGCCCAAGATGAAATCCATCGGAAAGCCCAAGGATGCTGTTTGGCTTCATGTGGGAAAGAACTTTTTATAGTCATCTGCCTGTTGAATGAAATAAAATAAAACTAGAACTTTTCAAAGGAGCAAGACATAAAAACAACCGAGAAAGTAATGATTGACAAATACTAGACTAAAAAAAAAAAACCCAACTCTGATAGTCAACAGCTGCAAATAAGAATGGAATACAGATCATTCAGGAACTTGCTATTCGTTTTGATGCTAAATTAGCTGCAGCGGTAAGAGGAGAAAAAAAAGGTAGAGATTGGTTTTGGCTAGTGCACTATCAGATATGATGGTGGAGGTTCAGGGGTTTCTTTCTAATAATATCTGTGCTAACAACCGTTTGAGTGATAATCAAGTAGGGTGGAAGCCTAGTCCTCATGAAAATTTCAACCCAGGAATGCATGGACCTCATCAGGAAAAGAAAAAAGAGCTAAGGCTGATCGGAAAAAAGAGCTAAGGTTGATCAGCATTAACCTAATTTGGGGATCATTACCTATTCCCAGGGATAGTTTTATTGCCTGACTTGCAGCGCATAACAGGCTATCTTCCAGGGTTTGACAATTATACACAGGTAGGAATATTAATGCAGAATCGTCCATCTCCCCTTACTGTAAAGATGTTTGGAGTGAAGTTCTGCAGAGTGTGGGTATTGAAGAAACACTGGAGGATGGATGATGGGGTTTGATTGAGCCAGAAGGGTCTGCGATAGAAGAATTTCCAAGCTTTTGTTGCAAGACTACCTAGGAATGCTACAATCTATGGAATCTAGGGGCAATGAAATGAAAGAAAGCTCATTAACTGAATATTTTCTGCAATTTCTAGATACTGGATGTTTGTATGGGAACCCCTTTGTTTGATTGTACTCAGTGCTAGTTGTAATAGGAAACTTCCCAATATTTTCCTTTGATCAATGAAATTAAACAGCTGCAAAAGTATGGAATATAAGAGATAACAAATTAAATTTAAAGTGCTGTTTCATTAGCTCAAACTGGCCTTGAAGCAACCAACAAAGTTAAAACACTCGCAACGAATATCAGAGCACTTACCCTCCCTTTGGTATGTAGAAAAATACAAGGTGAAAAAAAGCTAAAAATGTTTTGGAAAATAAATTTTTATCTTCAATCATCTCAGCTTGGGATGACATGCCAGAGCTTTCTTTTCCTTCTCCTCCCCTCCCCCCAACAACATGAGCTCTCATTTAAAAAGCTAAAATAATACTCTCATTTGTTTAACCAAAATCTATCTCAGCAGACATGAATTGAATATTTCAACCAAAAACCTTGAGAAGTAGGAACTCAAAGAGCATAGTATGAACAAACCTGTGCTGCATCAGAAATCAATAGCAGCAATAGATCGCTTCCTGAAACAGTCTCACAAATATCACCTAAAGTGTCATTCTCTTCAGTAAAACCACAAGCACGTGCTTCGGCAAAAGAACAAGAACCAGTCTTGAGGCCAATCTGTATCATATTCAGACAGGAGAAATTAATCATCAATGTCCAAGCAACTCGCTAAACAATTAAAAGCATTGATGACAGAACATAAGGGTGAATTGTGAATTACCTTGACTTTTATGTCAGACTTGGCTTCAGCAAGAGAATCCCTTAAATTCTGAGCTTGAGCAGCACCCTTATAATGAATGAGGAGCTGTTAGCAACTTAAATCAACAGTCCACGGCAAAGGAGAGATTCACTAGGGTGGAGCAAAAGGGTTTTTTGGTTGCTTAAAGCCCAAACAATGAAAATCAACAGAAACAATTCTGTTATTGGAAATAAGACAATGTATAGATAATCTTAAGTCAGTCAAATTCTTCTTCTTCTTCTTCTTCTTCTTCTTCTTTTTTTTTTTTTTTTTTTTTTTGTGCAAAGAGAGAGAGGCAATATTCACAATATACTACAATACAGTACATACAAATCACCATCAATAACCATACTTTGAAAATTAATAAATAAGGCCTGTACTTGTTTTTGTTGCTCTAAAGAAACAATGAGATGTCAAAAAGAAGCTATATTGATATGACTTCTCTTCATTCTTCACTAGTTCTCTTCCTAATTCATCCAATCACCAAATAGGAAAAAAAAAACATTAGAGAGAGACAAAGAAAAGTACCATAAAAGTGTCAGAACCTCAAACATCCACCTTTGATTATGAAATAAATAAATAAAAATCGAAGTCTGCATTCGATAGCGAAACACGAAAGTGAAAACTATAGAAATGAAGCTAAGAGTTAAACCAAATGAAATCAAACTGAAAAGATGTCAAAAAAAGAAGAGAATTGAAATACCTCATCTTGTCCAGCGAGAGTGATCTTCTCCTCCTTAAAAACAGAGGTCTGACAATTAAGGGAAGGTTCCTTTTCGCCTGGCGCCAAAACCCTTTTAGCTGTTCCACCACCAGCCAAAAAGGTACCAAACGTATCTCCTATCTTCTTGGTAATCGAAGAAACCATCCCGGATTCTGGTGCGGATTGCATAGACTTTCCAGTCGCAGAAACATCACAATGAGCTTCAAATTGTAATTCTTTTTCTTGGACAGCTGGAGAGATTTTCTCCTTCTTACAAAATGAGGTACCAACTTTACAAGAAAACGAAGGATTCTCTTTAGACATCGATAAAACCTTCTTAGACCGACCTACATGAAGGCCAAGTGGCTTATGAATTAGGTTGCGGTTGGAGAGGGAAGATACAGAACGAAATGAATTGTGGTTGCAAAATGATTTTTGTGATAATTTTAAGGAATTTGATGGGGCTGCTATGGAGGCAAGAGAGAAAGAAAAAGCTGCGGCCATTTTAACCGATAACCAAAGAAGCTGGTGCAATACTTGGGGTTTCTATTTATAGAGCAGGTGGGTGGGGTTTGCTGCTACTGTCCGCCTCCAGACGTATTAAAGCCAACCGACTTATCCATCTCTGGAATCTTCCAACTTTAAAGGACGATAATTATAAATTATTCTTATTATGTCATTTTCATCTCAATTTAGTCTCGAAATATTTTATTGAGTGACTTTATTTGATATCAATTAACAATTGTACTGATGATTTTATTTGATGTATATCTATATACATACGGTTACAATTATAATTTTTCCTTAAAAGCGTGATAAGCTCAAGCCTTCCTATCATAACTGATAAACTCAGCTTTCCTATCATAGTTGAGAAATTTTAAGATTCCATAAAATAAAAGATCACAAGAACTTTTATTTGAAGCCTCTACCAGAACAAACGAGTCCATTTACAGCTTTACTCGTTTGAATCACATTTGCCAAGCTAACTTGAAAAAAATGATCAAAGTGAAGAGGTAGATATGGTGTTTTTAATGTTAGAGATAGATAGAATTTGATCTAATCTAGTATTATAGATAGGATTATATATTTTAGTATATATTGATCGTAAATTCATCAATACAATACACATTATGATAAAAAAAAAATTTATCTTATTAAATGCTTATTAAATAACAAAAAGTAGATCCAAAGAAAAGAGATAAATACAAGCGAGTGTTTAAAAAAAAGTTTAAATGGAAATATTGCTATAAAATTTGATGAGTGGTTATGCAATTTTTTCTCTCTTTTTCTTAAGTATTTTAAAATTCTTTTTAATAATTTTTAATTTTTCAATGATAACTTTTTAATACGTTTTCAGTGAATTTTGAGAGTTCGGATTTTTTTTTCTTTGATTGTATGAATTTTGGATTTTTAATTATGATTTCGATCGCTACATAGCAATTCATCTTTGATATATTTATATAAAAGCTACGGGCATGCCAATCACCCACAATTGAGCTTTTATAGAATTTGTTCTTTAACACAAAGGAATTAAAAAGAAAAAAATGAAAAACCTGTGAAAGCCTTTCCTATTGACCTCTGAATGAAGTACACCAATCCCAAGCGTCAATATAAGATACAGTAATAAAGTTTTTAGAATCTACAGACCCAACCCAACCCCAAATCTATATATCCGAAACCGAAGGACTCCGAATAATCCGAAACATAAATAATAGCACAGCTTCTAATATTTATGGACCCAACCCAACCCAACCCCAAATCTCTAATCTCTCAGTTACCTTCGTCTTTGGAGACTTTAAATTTATCGGCTTTGGATCCTGTTAGCGACACGTGGGACCATGAGTTTTCAATCTCTTTCTTTGCAGCGTTATAAGGGATGGAGGGGCAAGTTAGTCATTTTGATATTTCAAGCAGTTAGTGTTACTTTATTTGAGAATCAAAAGAAATTTTATAATACTTAAGCATAGTATTAACTCTATAAATTTATTTTTTTAAAAAATAAATACATAAAAAAATCATATTTAAACTCATAAAAAATTATAAGAAGATTTTTATGTTGGTTTTTTTTTTTCAATTTTTCTCTCTTATAAATCTATAGATCGGGTGGATGCGTTATTGTGCTATTGTGCACCTCAACCGTAATACGCTATAACTTGTAATAATATCACATGCTTTGCCACACTCTCAAGGACCACTTGCGTATCACCATTATCAAATAGACGTATTAAAGTCAACCAACTTATCCATCTCCGGAATCTTCCAACTTCTAAAGGATGACAATTATTAATTATTCTTATTATGTCATTTTTATCGCAATTTAGTCCATCAACAAAGAAATCTCTTATTGAGTGATTTTATTTAGTATCAATTAACGACCGTACTGATGATTTTATTTATTTAGTATATGGTCTTTAGCATCCCTATTCTCCACAATTTAAAGGTCTCTAGGACTAAAAGAGAGCGTACGATGGCCGGAATTAGTTGAAGATTACATCAAAGGGTTTAAACTGCTGGTTGTGGGCAAGTGTCCATGCACAAATGTTCAAGGGCAAAGATTTACCAAAAATTCACCCTATCAAGTTTTAATTAATATTTGAGTGGCTGAAATTATAAGAAAAGTTGGATGCTAAGGTCGAACCCCCTTGAAATCTTATATTAAATGCATTTGTTAATCTAAAGCTGAACCATTTATTTCTATATCTGAAGTTGACGTAATTATTCGTTTTTTTTTTTCAATTCTTTATAATATTATTGTTAAAACTATTTAGCCATGCATGATTGAGAAAGAAGAGCATAAAAAAGCATATCTTTCTGTTGATTTTTTTTGAATGTATACTCTTCGCTTGCTAAAAGTATTTTAATCTGAACCATTTACTTCTATAACTGAAGCTGATGTAATTATTCGGTTTGTTTTTTCTAATTCTTTATAATATTATTGTTAAAACTATTTAGCTATGCATGTTTGAGAAGTAGAGCATAAAACAAGTGGTATCGAATTCGAATACTTATGTATGAAAAAACTCTTTAGATAGTTGTATTTATTTCGTGTGTCCGATAGAACTGACAAGAAATTAGTTTAGGTTTTTATACCATGGATAATCTTAGGGACTTAAAAAAACAGTATTTTAATCTGGTTTTGTATGACTTTTGTTGCATAATCAAAAGGTAAAGGGAAAAAGCCTTTCCTAAAACTTGAACTAAAAAAAAATACAGACTTTAACTAGCAAAAGAAATAGGCTTTCAGCTTAAAGCACATATATAGCTGAAGTTTGAATAAATAGTTGTAACCCAGTTTGATGATATTGAAGAAAGAAAAGCAGAAACAAGCATACTTGTATGTTGATCTTTTGAATGTAGTTTCTTATTTGATTGCTGAAAATGTCTTAAATTCTGGTTCTGTATGATCTGTACATTAGAATTAAAAAGCAAAGAAATCTGTATCCAAGAATGAAACCCATCATTACTGCTAAATTACTCCATTTATTTGATTCTTCCACACCTTGTTGCTTCAGAAACTCCTCACCATAAAGGTAGCAGTTTCCTTCTATAGTCTCCAAGCACTTCCTCTTTCCCTTCTCTCCTCCATATTCATTTATCATAAAACACTCAAATGGGTACTTAAACAAGCTTAAATAATGCATGAAAATCCAATACTTGGGTATGTCATCCTTTGCTATGAAATACCCAGAGAAAAGGAAAAAGGACCCCATTAGGCCAGCAATCAAAGATGTCCCCATGATGAAATTTGGCACAAGAGCACTAAAACATGCAACAAAAGAATTTGACATCAAAACAACCATCCATACCACCAATGAGAAGTAGAGAAACCCACCCATTTCCCTTCTCAATCCAACTAGCCAGTATACTGGGGTGCTGTAGAGGAGTGCGACAACCAGAAGGAATGGAAGGAAAACGAGAGTGTTCGATATGACATACGAAGAAACTCTGTAAGCTCCTTTTGAGGTTTCTCTCATTAAAATTCTTCTTTCTTGCAAGAAAATGGGTAGGCCTTCTGTTGTGGATGACAGCAAGAAGTTGAGGCTGAAGGCAAAGAACCCAATTTGAGTCTGAAGTTTAAGTCTCCTTGGATCATTTGTTGCATTCATGAATATAGTTCCAAGCACAACCCCACCAAGTACTGCCTGTAGTATTCTTGCTGCAAAGAGCTGATTGGTTCTGCAAATGATATTGGAGAATCTCTGACCCAGTATTAAAACCTCCTTGAATCGACCATTGGAGTAAATAGTTTCTTCAATATTGCTGTATTGGTTAGGATTTCTTCTGATGTGCTCATAATCTTGTGCTACATCGGTATCTTCTATTTCATCTTCTTCACTATCTTCCATGCCCAGGGCTTCTGTCATTTCCATAGCAAACTCAAGCACATTAACGTGCCTAGGAATGGAATGACCAGCGAATGTAAGCCGCTGCTCGAGGAGATGCAAGGAACCATGATGAAGAATAGTTCCATTTAATAACAACAGAATCTTATCAAATAGCTCAAGAATTCGGAAACCAGGTTGATGGATGGTTAGAACGATTGTTTTACCTTGCTTTATAGCCATAGATTTGAGCAACAAAACTATGTGAAGAGCTGATGCTGAATCCAATCCAGATGTTGGTTCATCAATTAGAAGAACAGCCGGTTCATGAACTAGATCTACTCCTACAGAAACTCTACGTTTCTCACCACCAGAGATTCCCCGGCTTGATTCACTGCCAATTCGCACATTTGCAACATCCTCCAAACCAAGTTCCTTCAGTAGCTCGTTAACTCTAGCTGCTGCTGTATGTAGACTGCCTCGCAACCTGAGGCGAGCACTGTACATGAGAGTTTCTTTGACCGTCAAAAGTGGGAAAAGAGCTTCATCTTGTGCTACGTACCCTGATAGCCTCCGAAAGCATCTAGCATTCATCGGCTGTCCATTTACAAGAACTTCACCACAAACTTTTCTACGTGGGATCACACCAGCAAGAATCTCCAACAACGTGGTCTTTCCTGCACCACTTGGACCAGCAATTGCCAGAATCTCCCCTGGTCTTGCTTCGCAATTCACATTCCTCAAAATGTACGGATTATCAACCGTTGTTTTCTTCCAGTGAAGCCAACTGAATTCATCAATTTGACTGCATAGCTTGTAAGAAAGATTCTTTGTCTTAATACTATACCTAGTTTTCAAGCCACCAGAGTTCGGAGCTATTCTTGGTAGTTCCATGGAGCTGCAGCATAAAGAAAGGAGAGGACTGAGAAATGAAAGGCAGAAAAAGTGAAAAAAGAAGATGAGCTAACACACCAAACAGGCTCTAGTTTGTACACGCCAGTGCATATACTTTGCATGCATGGTTATTAGCCTAATCTCATCGGTTGTTCTTATATAAAATTTTACAAGAACATTTGGTCATGGAGGAGTAGGTGGTGTATTAGGACATTTATGTGGGCTTGACAGTTTCAAGAAATTACGTAAGGATGACAAAATTAAACGCTTTTCAGGTGAAGTCTCTGTTGACCCAGTTTGGGGATTGGTCCATGCATGCATGTATCAGTGATCATCCATGTGAATGTGGTGAAATTTCAGTTACACTCTTTATATGGTGTTTTGTTTAGTATCAATAAATGTAGATTCCTTTAGGTCCTCACTTCTTTCTTTTTCCTGTGGTTGAGTATACATAGCAGTGTCTTAATAGCCCCTGGTTTGTGAAGTAAAAATCCTGTCCATTCCAAACGATGGTTTAGTGGTTTAAGGTTCTTATTACCAATCTTCCCCAACAGCTTCCTTGGTCTTGCGGTTGTGGACCCCATCTATAATATTAGTTTAGGGTTTTTTGTACTCTCTTCAATAAAAATAAAAAAAATATATATATATATATATTCCTTTTTTTTTAATTTTTTACATAAATTAAAAGGGTTATTAATTATTATGCTAGATCAATATTTTTTTATTCATATATATATATATATATATATATATATATATATATATATATATATATATATATATATATTAAATTGTATTTGGACAATCTTTTATAAAATGAATTTTCAATAAAAGATATTTTAGGAAAGTATAATTTTTTTACAAAACAAGTATAATTATAACATATATAAATAAAAAGACATAAAACATTTTTAGGACGGAAGGAATATTAATTAAGAGTATTTTAGGAAAGTTCATAGCTGAATGTGTTTTACTAAAAAACATTTTGGAACATAAACAAATAGAAAGGCAAACAATTTTTTTTGGATTGCAAGGAGTACCAATTTGTCAATCGTTTTTTTATTTTTTTTGAAAGATATTAATAGAATTCCTTTCGCATCGACTTAATGCATTTAAAGTAATATATTCTCTTTTATAGTAATTTTAAGGTTTGAATTTTATAAGTTAAAGAAGAAAGAAAACATTCTTGACCAACATGTCAAATCCTTAATTTAAAGTTATATATAATCTTTTTATTTAAAAAATTATCATATTTGATTTTTTATGCATATTAATAATGTCACTAATTAACATGTTATGTCACTATTTTTTTATTATAAAATTTTTAAAGATATTATAGGAAAATACATAACTTAATTTTTTTGGCCAAACAATTATTTTGAAAAAAAAACAGAAAATAGAACAAAATATTGGAGATGGAGGGAGTAGCGCATTAATATATAGTTACATGGATGCTTTAGGTTTTTTTATTTTTTTAATTAATGCTGTTATTACACCCCGTGCTCTTGTATTATATGAAAAATGATATCACAACCCCTCTATATAAGTAGATATAGTTTAAAACCGATGTTATACTATTAGACGTCAGTGTAAAATAACCCTCTTAACATTTTTTCATTAGTTAACTAATATAATATCGACACATGTCACTTTAAGGATAAAATCATAATTGTCTTTTTAGTTCAGTTTTTCTCAACTTTGTTTTAAGTTAAATTAATTAATAATAATTAAAATATCAATTAAAGTTGAAAATCAAATTAAATACCCAAGACACATTAATTACATATAGTAAATTAAAAAAATATGTATATTGTCTATTTCTTTTTTCTTTCATTCTTCACTTTCAAACACTAAATCATCAGCTGCCACCACACCCTAATCCATAAAATTGATCACACCAGCCAAAATCCACTGTCAAATTCTATTTTATTAGAATATCTTAAAGGATGATCCTAAAATCTTAAAAACTCATCTGCCAAAAACACTTAGATCCACGTGTATGTATATCGATCTTCTTGATGCCTAGTTTAGGAAAAAGTGGCATCAAAGTCCAGCATCAACAAATCAGTTATGAAACACCTGCAATCAGGTTTGTTTGGGTTCTATGTTTGACAACTCTTGTACGTAATAACACAAAGAAAACGGATTAGAGAGGAAGGAGGGAAAAGTTTAAAAAAATGGATAATAACTTCAATTGGATATCAGCAAAGACCCACGCTAATTTAAACCAGTTCATTCTTATCTTTGAAGATCTAATACAATTACACTATTAATACACGAGGATTCATTACTCCCAAGCTTCCAACTGACTCATTCTCCTATGCTAATTTGTAAATCTTCTCAAAAAGGTAGTGTATGTGAAAAACAAATTAAGGATCTTTTTCCTTTTTTTAAAAAAAAAAACTAAAGTGGTTTGAAAATAAAATTTACAAATTAAATGTTCAAACTCTATCTTCTCTCCCTTTGTTTCAAATCTTGGAAATTTTTGTTTGGTAAGGCTTCACTTATGTCTAAATGCAAGTATATACCAAATATGACAAACTGTTGATAAGACTTATGTTCTCTCATTCTCTCTCTCTTAAAAAAAAAAAGATTTTTAAATTATTATCAATTAATTTAACTTTAAAAAATAAAAAATAAATAAATAAAAAAAATTACGTTTTTATCTTTAAAATTACATATATCGATCATTGGATTGATCAGACATTAGTTAATTAATATAAACTAATCAAATTAACAAAAAAAATTAACGGATGAGTTGTTTTATACTAAACTCTAATAATACAAGTTGATTATTAATTAGATCTAGGCAGCGAGATTATGAAAATATTTTTGATATAGTTCAAAGGCCCGAGTTAATTTTTTTTTTTTCGGCCATAGCATGAATCTTTTTGGATGGGCCAACTTTAGAGCTTAGAGAGGGCAGTGATGACTTTTTAGCATGAAGCACTGTATTTAGCATTGGACATTTGGACCCAGCACAAATGGAGAAAGCATGTGAAACCATTGCCATGAAAAGGAGCAAGGCATTTCTTATGGTCCAGATTTTTATTCTATCATGATTATACTAGTAATATTTATAGTTTAAAGCTTAAGATTTTTTTTTTTTTTGTCCCCAATATTTTCTGTGTCTCAATTGAAAAAAGATTGTGTTAGAACATTTCAAAATGTTGGTTCAATTGTGAATTAAGCTCCGAACAACGGATTTTTTGCAGCGGAGAGCCCAAAAAATTAGTGGTTATTGAATTTGAAATTTGGCTAGAAGAATCATATTAAAAAATGAAAAAAGAAAAACGAAAAGAAGAGCAAGCATAAGAAGATAAACTCCATTCTACTTCCACGTGTATGAACATCATACGTGAATGTAGATTCGGAGCTTATGACATGGCTGCAGGGACAACATTTATCCTGCAACTAATGACTACTGTCTGGTCTTTTCAGTTTCTAAACAGCACTGGATACCTCTCACTCTCTCTCTCTCCGTGGAGCTTCAATGGCATTGTCTTCACAAATCCACAACGTCTCTGTTTTCTCAGCAAGCAAAACTACAGAAAATGGCCATGGAAGAAGGATAGGAAGAATGTTTGTTAAGATGGCAGCATCAACATCAGAAATGGCAGCTGCCTTTGAAGAGGGACAGCTAGAAAGGCCTAAGTGGTCAGGACAGACACCTCTCTCTCGTCTTGTTGGAACTCTTATTGCTTTTAAGCCTCTCTCCTCTGTTCTCAAACTTGGTGCCAGACAAGTCCTTATCAGGTCCCATTAATTTCCTTTCTTTACAGGACTATATGTGCATGCATTTCCCTTAATTTGTTTACATGGGTGAATTTTTGTGTTGCTCAATGTTGCTGGTGTTCAAAATTAGCGGATTGGCTGTGGTTATGCATATTTGTTTCTCTAATTGAATGGTTTTTTCATGTTTGTTTGCTCATGTTTCTCAATTACACTTGAATATGGAATTTTGAATGTGTGGAACAGCACCGCTGAGAAGGGGAACATTCCATGGAGAGAAATGACACAGGAGATTCTGGAATCAGATGTCTATAAGGAGTTGGAGAGCATTCAAAACCCCTCACTTGTTTATCCAGATTGTGAGTATCTGAACCCAATTGAATTCCTATTTCCTTGCTTGTACACACTTTTCTTTAATGTTGCCTTCAATTATTTTTGGATCACTGGGTGATTGGATTTGTTCCTTTTCAATTTGGGCTAAGGGCTACAAATTTTTGTGACATTAAGTCAAAGCTTTCAGGCTACAAATTTTTGTGACATTAAGTCAAAGCTTTCAGGCTACAATTATCTCTATCTTGGTTTATAATTGCTTGCTATTATTGGAAGGTTTGCTAAGTTTCAAGAAATCGAAATTGAACTAATAATTGAGTTGACTTTTGAAAGTTTGAAGCTCTGCTACTTTTCTTATGGATTATCACTTTCTACTTTCTCACTTCATTTTCTTCTTCGTACTTCAATGATCAAGCAATCTCAAAGAAGTTGATTCTATTTTCAGATTACCTAAATCCTTTCCATGCTTACGACGAGGGAAATCTTTCATGGCTGGTGAGTATTTATAACTCAGTGACATGGTTGTGCATCATTTAATATGTGTCCTTTCTGAGCATGCATTTGGATGCCATGGTTTTGCTGAAAATATCTATGCTTACTTTATCTAGTGCTAAATATCTAATGTCTTTCTTCCAATATCAAATTCTTTGCCCCCGTATAAGCTAAACTACAGACTAGATTCTTTTCTGTTCTGTCTAGCTCAAGCTGTGCTTGTGATTCTGGTTTTGTTCCTGCATGAACAGATTAAGGATGAATTTCATGCTGTAAATCGCATATGTGAGATTAAGTTAAATCTTTTAGTTTTGTTAGTTTTCAATGTACAATATCGAAGAAAGGATGATCCTATTTTAGCCACATTTCCAATGTCAGGCTGCAGCTGAAGCTGAAGCTGCAACCATGTCAATGGTGAGGCGAGCAATACCTAATGCTTCTACAGTAGAGGAAGCAAATCAAATAGTGCGTGGAAATTGGCTTCAGGCAATTGAACAACATCATCTACAGTACTCTGGGAATTCCATGATACGAGACATTCTAGATATTGGATGCTCTGTAGGTGTCAGCACAAGATTTCTAGCTGACAAGTTTCCTTCTGCAAATGTCACTGTAAGTCCGGTCCTCAATTTTAATGAGATCATTTTAGCAGTCCTGCACATATGATACAATGCAATGGAACTAAGATGCTAATGGCTGACACTTATTTATTGTTTGTATGTGGATATCAACCTGCAGGGGCTAGATCTGTCACCTTACTTCCTTTCTGTAGCTCAATTCAAGGAAAAGAAGATCGGTCCACGAAAGACTTCTATTAAATGGATGCATGCAAATGCAGAAGACACAGGCTTTCCACCCCAATCATTCGATCTCGTTTCCATTTCATATATGGTATGTGCTATTCTCTAAAGCAGTATGCTTTTCGATGTTCTGGAAATGCTATGAATGTTTTGATAAAAAATGATGCCTTTCCTTTAGCGGCCATCAATCTCTAGTATTAGTACAAGGAGTTCTCTTCCCTAACATAGTAAATGAGTATAATTAGCTTTGGAAGGAAGCAAATAAAGCTGTTGAAGTAAAACATTTGGGATTTTTTTAATAAAAGGCCCAACATCATGTTTAACAGTCAGAGACATCACTGTGTTAATACGATTCAAGCATGTGCCAGGATTGTAACTTTAGAAACCTATTTGTAGACGAGGAAAGGAAAGAAATGGTAGACATGTTCCTCGCAAACAGGATCATCCTCACTAAAATTGTTTTCCATCATGTAGTTGAAAGCTAGTGTAACAATAAGTACAAGAAAGCTTAATTGATGCTCTTTGAATGAAGCGAGATCATGGGTGTTCCAAAAGTTATTGAATTTGTATTTTAAAAGCTTCTGGTGTGTGATATTTGAAGATACTTACACTTCCAACTCCCTGAAACATATGCAGTTTCATGAATGTCCTGAAAGAGCAATAGTTAACGTACTGAAGGAAGCATTCAGGCTACTTCGTCCCAGAGGCACAATTGTTGTGTCGGATCAATCGGTAAGCATTCATACCTCTAAAATTCAGTCACAATAATTCTCCCACTGCTGTATCGTTATTAATGTGATGTTTTCTGCTCTCTTATGCAGCCAAAGTCAAAGATCCTTCAGGTATGGTTCCAATACTAACATAACATACTATAGATTTAGCCGTAGTTTTAAATAGTGGTTGTGATCGCTAGAGTTTTGCAAATATAAAATTGTACGTGAATTTTCAAAATCATGCAGCAAACTGAATCCCTTGCCTGTTCATGTGTTATAGGAAATGTCACCAGTTCTGTTTACATTATTGAAGAGCACTGAACCATTTCTAGATGAATACCATCTGACTGATCTAGAAGGAAGAATGAAGGAAGCTGGCTTTGTAAATGTGCAAACAAGTCTTACAGATCCAAGACACAGGACCTCGACTGCGATGGTGCCTTGTTAACATGTAATGCTCACTAGGCTTAGAACTGCACTAGTTCCAAGCACTTCTCTAAAAGAAAGGAGTAGAAGTTGGTCATCTAGTTGCTCTATATGCTTCTAACCATCGCATTGGAGACGTGAAATTAATTCTTTTCTTTGATTCCAACGGTCAAAATTTATAGAAATTCTGTGGCTGCTTGTTTGATAAAAACTTCACAAGTGCTATAATGATGTGTTCAAGCAACCCTATAGTAATAAAATTCATGATGGCATATGATATTGATATGCACGTACCTGGCACACTATTTAGTGGAGCTGAAATCCTGCATTTCTCTAACCGCTAAATTCCTGCAAATATACTTTATTTCAGTGCCATGATTTCTTGGAGTCATTTAAGATATCTACAATGGTGAAAAAAAAAAAAAATCATTTCAACTTTAAACCGGAGAGAATGGGGGATTGAAAAAAAGATATTTTGGGAGCCCATGTAATGAAAAGTCAATGTTAGCAACCAAGCCATTAAATCAATGTACTCAATTGGAAATTTATCTTTTTTTTTTTTTTTTTTTTAACTCACACACCATCCAAAATTACTAATAGAACTAATTTACTAGAATTTAAACCCGTCATATTTTGTTATAATAGATTATTACAACTAGTTACAAGCTTTTTGGTATTTGAAATTTATCTTGCTTTAAGAATTTATTTAATAGCTAAACACAATTATTAGATTATTAAAATTTATGGAAAACTATCACATGATGTTTGAGTAGGAGGCAACTATAGCGATAAATCCGAAAGAATTATGATTGTTATTGTTTGGTTTCGATGCATTTCCAATTCTAATCAATTGAAACTACTAGGAATTGCAAGAATAACATGTAAAAAACCTAGATTATTTTTTTAAAATTAAATGTAAATGTAACAATTAAATTCAATGCCATTAATGAAAACAATGCATAACAAGTATACATGGCTGGAAAAGAAGAAGAAATACGAGAGGGGAAGAACGGAAGAATGAGAGAGAAACTAAAAGAGCAAAGAGAGAGAGCAATTTGCCAACTTCACTATCGATTCCCACACACTTTCCTCACTCTCCTTTTGTAGCTAACAAACTCAACTAAATGCTCCTTTAACTCGCTAACAATGACAACTACTTAGTTAACTAATTCCTTAATTACTAGTAGCACCAACTCGATCCCGTTGCCGACTATCGGCTTTACTTGCCACGAAGTTGCCAACTCATTGTCAATTGACACTCTTGCTAATTCATTATCGAAGAGTTGCATCAATAACCTTCCTCTCACAAAACCTTATCCTCAAGGTTGAACCGTGGAAAAATTTCGCAACCTTTCGGACTTTTTAGTACAATTTCGACCATCAAGTTCCAACACCTTGGTGCAAAGATTCCCATCTTCCTTATAGTACTTGAGCTTTAGCTTATTAAGCTTGCAGGAAACTTTCAAAGTGAAAGTGAATTGAATATATGAATCAACCTCATCTCAATTGTTAGATAAATTTTGAATTATTCATTAAAGCCAAAGATAAAATCTCCGAAAAAGTTAGTTAGAAAAAAAAAAGTCTAACATATGTATTTTCTTTGTTTGTTAATAAGATTCTAACGGACATTGAAAATGATCATGCCTCTTCTCTTTGTTAGTGAAAGATGAGTCATACTAAATAAAGTTTGTTGCCTTCTCATATCTTCTCAAGGCTCTTTCATATTTGCTAGCCTTCAACAATGTATTCCTTTCTTCTTTCTTCTTCGCAACAACTTCAATCCTCTTTTGCATATACATATTCCATGATTCCTTTTTTTTGGTGAAAGAGATCATCTCAACTTCATAATACATTGTTGCCTTGGCAAGAACAATAGCCAAGTCTTGTTGAGATTCATATGTGCCAAAAATATAGTATAGATGAATTGTCACCAAAGTAACTTACTTTTTTCTTCATAGTCTTGATGATCTTGTTCCATCTTTTCATTACTTACTCTTAGCAAAGCAAAGCTTGAACTTAAATGAAGTTTTTCTTTCACAACTTGAATGAAATTGGATTACATCAATTAAAATTCTAGTATAGTGCATTCTAATGTCCATTTTTCTATCCATAATGGTTGCGGGAATGACTAGAGTATCAAGTGACATTGATACTATGAAAATGCATTGACATACTTCTCTTAAGTCCCAACCTCCAGGATCAAATTTAAGAGTTTGACAATTGAATTTATGAGATGATGTGATAGCTATGAAGTTGCATCTATATACTTCTCTTAACCCCCAACATCTAAAATCAAAGCTAACATAAAAAAACACAATACATTTCCAGGTTTGTCTTCCTACGGAATACCACAATTTGAACCCCATAATCATCACAACATTGTTTATTCTTAATACCAATCAAATGCTTTTGTTTTGCTTTATCAATAACATTGAAAACAAATTGACTCTTATCTTGATTAACTACAATATCTTCCACTTTTTGACAATCCTATAGCAACAATTTGAACACAATACATTTCCAGGTTTGTCTTCCTACGTAATACCACAATTTGAACCCCATAATCATCACAACATTGTTGATTCTTAATACCAATCAAATGCTCTTGTTTTGCTCTAGCAATAACATTGAAAACAAATTGACTCTTATCTTGATTAACCACAATATCTTTCACTTTTTGACAATCCTATAGCAACAAACTTTCACCAAATTTATTCTCCATGGATGGTTCGGTTTCCAAACATTTCTTAAATTGACTTTCAACAATTTCTTTGTTATCAAACCCAATGTATTTAGTTCTTAATGAAAACCCATTTAAATTATGATTTTTTAGCAAAAACGTCGAGTATTGATCATCTTTATCACTTATTTCATTCAACCCCATACAATTAATCAAATAAGAAATTACGAGCAATACCAATTTATTCTAACTCGATTCTTGATGAATGTTAACTCCATTGACATTTTCGGTTCCACCACTATTAACACCATTATCTTGGTCGGTAACCACCTCATCAACTATTGGACTTTTAAACCCTTTCACAATCTCTTTCAAATTAGCAATATCTATATGATGTCGTTCAAACACATTATTGCATTTATCGAAAGCTTAGAAATTACCTTAAACAGATGAGCAATTGATTCCTTCATTTTCTTTAGTTCAACATTCCCATTCGCCATTCTTGTTAATTTCAAGTTGATCTCTCCATAAGTGCCAAAATTAAAGCTCTAAAACTAATTAATGCAGTTTCAATTCTAATCAATTGAAGCTACTAGGAATTGCAAGAATAACAAGTAAAAAACCTAGATTATTATTCAAAATCAAATGTAAATATAATCGTGAACTTCAATGCTATTAATGAAAACAATGCATAATAGTATCCATGGCTAAAAAAAAGAAGAAATATGGAGGGGAAGAACAGAAGAACGAAAGAGAAACTAGAAGAGCCAAGAGAGAGAAATTTGCTAACTTCACAACCGATTCCCACACACTCTTCATCACTAGGGGTGAGCAAACGGTTAAACGGTTCGATTTTGTACGATTCGGTTCGGTTTTCGGTTAACCGAATCAAGGAAAATAAAAACCAAAACCGAACCAAAATAAATTCGGTAAATTCGGTTTGTAACCAAATTATTTCGGTTCGGTTTCAAAATATTTCGGTTTTAACCGAAATGTTTTACCGAAAAAAAAATTCTAGACCATTGTTTCATTATCCGTCCTAAGCCACCATCATTTTCACCATTTATTATTAAAAAAAAAAAAGACAATAAGAAAACAAAGCCCTTACATAGGAAATATCTTTTGCAGCTACCTAATCACAATAAGAAAACAAAGCTCTTACATAGGAAATATCTTTTGCAGCTACCTAATCACAGTTGACACACCGAATGTCCTAAATGAGAGAAGAAAAAAAATGTAGTTGTCTTCCTTCTTTGCTTATTCCGAACTCATCAAGCACCGACAACATCCTAATTCTTAATTTGACCTCTATGATCTCCTTGCTTATCTTGCTAAAAAGCCATTGGGAATGATCCGCAGGAAACAAAATTTTAGACCGAATTAGTCACCGTTGAAGATTATAATTTTCCAACATCAATCACTATCATAACAAGATATATAAAGCAAGGTAAAGGTTACCAATATGTATAACATCCCTAATAATTTTACAATCATCATTCCCACTAAAAAATGTAGTCTAAAAGATTTTCATTAGCAATTTTGTGCAGTAGAAAAAAATTAAAACAGACTTTCTTTCGGTTTGTAAAATTCAAGCTCACAGAGACCTAAAACCATCTTGCAATAGTAAGTTAATTTCATTTGATTGTCTTGCAAAGAAACAACTAAACTTGTAAAAGACAATTGATTGCAGTTAGTCATCAACTTTATTTAATTTTTTCAATTGATAGTTGACCAAATTAAGAATCTTAGAATTCATGAATGCCTCCTCCGACTCGATGAAGTGATGATGAAGGAGAATCGGAGAAGATGGAGCGAAGGATAGGGAGCTAGGGAGGCGCCGCTAAAAATTGATTTTGATTTAGTGAAGTTAGCCAATTAGGGTTAAAAAAAAAATTTTATTTATTTATTTATTTTTTGTTTTTAATTTTTTCGGTTTTCGGTGAAAACCGAATTTTTTTTCAAAAACCGAACCGAACCGAAATAATTTCGGTTTTTCGGTTCGGTTTTTAATTTTGTAAATTTAAGTTTAAAACCGAACCAAAATACATAATTCGGTTCGGTTTGATTTGGTTTTCGGTTAACCGAACCATTTGCTCACCCCTACTCCTCACTTTCCTTTAGTAGCTAACAAACTTAACTAAATGCTCCTCTAACCGTTAACAATGACAACTACTTAGCTAACTAATTCCTTAATTACTAGCAACACCAACTCTCTTTGCTAACTAAGCTAATAACTATCAGTTTATTTGCTACGAAGTTGCTAACTCATTGTCAATTAGCACTCTTACCAACTCACTACCAAAGAGTTGCATAAGCTTCCTAATTAACTTAATTAAGCCATAGATTTTGGATGCCCTAATAAATTGAAACCAAATTATATTCTCTCTGTGTGAAAAAAATATATTAAAAACAATCTTTTTCATGGTTGCAGCAACAGCACTTTCCGTAGTCAATCCATTAGGTTGGCGATTCTCCAATGGACGAACTAATACTTACGAATCAAGCAACAAATCCACCAAACTCCCATGTTGACTCATCATGACAGTGCATATTAAATCTCAGCCGTTGATCTGACCTAAAATTTAACGGCTCAGATACCTTAAAAGTAATCCAATCTAACGGTACATAGTGCTTACATTAACGACTCATGTTCCCTGTCTTTCTTTGTACAAGCAAGGAAACTCGGAGACACAGACAAATTCTCTCTTGAAACTCAATTTCCTTGTTTCTTAAACACCCCCTTGTTTTGTCCTAGAAGTCCCAAATTTTCTCCCAGTGAATTCACACTTTCATTCTCTCTGATCCAAATTTCTGTATCAAAATTTAATCTATCTCTATAGAGATAATGGAGAAAGCAGTGGAGGCACCGAATGATATACAGAGTGAAGAAACTGAAGCTATAGAGCTTATTCTCTTTCAAGTCTCTGAATGCTATGTTTATTTGGTAACTCTCTATATATCTATATCTTTATGCAGTGTTGTACTGCCTTTGAATTTATGTTTAGTAGATTTTTCTTGTGACTTTGCAAATGGGTTTTTGAGATTTGTTGCAATTAATGATCTTTTGAGCTTTTTGTATATAAATAACCTTGAAAGGTTGTTCCTTTCCCAGAAAACATGTCCTTATAAGAAAATTAGATTTTCAGTTGTATGGATAGGAGAACTGAACTTAGATTTGAATTGTTGTAGTTAACTAAATTGTGAATTGGGTCTGGGGTTTGCTCATTTTTAGTGGGAAAAATGATTGTTATGAAAGGTGAATTGGGACATCAGAACACGTGATAATCATGATAATCAGCGCTATTTTTTCTTTTTTGAGGAGTTGTAAGAAAATGCCAACATCAAATATGATAAAAATGTATGTGAATTGTATTTGAAGTCCTTAGTTGGGTTTTTGGGTGTTGCTTTATTGCTCTAAAAGAAACATCATTGATTAAAGGTCCTTGCTTTTTGTACTTGTGGACTGAGTATTCATGACCTTAATAATTGATTGGGCAAAATTTATGAAGAGACAATCCTAGCAGTCTTTATTCGTAAATTTTTGTTGTTCATATGCTGATAGTGGGAATTAACAGGATCATTTGCAAATAAAAATATCTGTAATAGAAGCAGTGATATTACCATGGCAGATCTTATCATGGTCAAGTAAGATATAGTATTTCAAAGTCATAAGCTGCAGATCTTGCACCGATTAGTGATTACTGGCTGATACTTAAAGAAACGAGGCTGATTCGTAGAGATCTGGCTATAGGAAATTTAAACTGTTGGAAAGAATTAAATGTTACAAGGGCATTGGAAACACTTCCATTTCTAGCCTGATAATATATTTGTGGACTATGTCAGCTTACGGGCCAAGGAAAGGGCTATTTTCTCCCCTTTCCAGTATACTGCCTTCCTTTCCCTGTTCTTTGCATTATTGTACTAATGGTAAGGCAATGCTCTAAAAGCAATTTTGATATGCATGCATTAATTATGGTCAGGTAAGATCCCTATGTAGCCACACCAACAAACTGTAATTATGTGTTTTCCTTAATTAGTTTGAATCAGAAAAATTTTCAATCATTTTGTTCCCTAAAGCACAGGTCCTATGACTTCAATCCTTCTGTTGGAAGTAAAAAGTTCATAGTTCTCATTGTCAGGTTTACTTTTTATGTTTTTGATATCTCTTTTTCCCATTGCTCTTTAATATGCATCTTAAATTGTTACCCTGCCATTAATTTATATGTCATATCTGTTTATAGCCTTTGTATCGATTGCAGATGTTTGAATGTTTTACATGTTCAGAAATCTATGCAAGTCTAAGCTGGTTGATATGATCTTTTAGGCTTTTCATTAAACTCAAATTTCTGATATGTCAACATTAATGCTTAGCTTTCTGCTCTCAGCTGTTTACACAGGTAGTCAGCAGCAAATCCATCAAAAATTGAATTTTTATTTTTCCCTGTTGTATCAAAAACCACCCTAAGTAAGGATGTTATATCATTGTGGAAAATGATACATGCTACATACAGACCAGCTGCCTTCCATAATCTGCCACTTATTTTTTTCGTGATGTAAATCACACATAATGTAGTTTTTAGCAGATCAATCCAATTCAAACTCCATAAAAGTTGCTAAGCTATTTCATTTATTCTTTCTGCAGATACCTCCGAGGAAAAGTGCTGCTTCTTACAGGTTTTTTCTCAACTTGTCATCATGATGCCTGATATAGTGATATTGATGAGACATTTTTTTCTAAACGATGCCTTTAATACAATATTCATGTTTCTTTATTATTACATTTTGAATTAAACAGAAATTAATTAATTCAAATTGTATTGTTGCTCAGATCCACTTGCTTATGGAAATTGTGTCCACTCAATCTAATTAGAAGCTGGACTTTAATGGACGCTCATGACCTAGTAATGATAAGTTGCACATAGAGTCTTTTAAAGAGGAATTGTTGACAAAGGGATCTTTTCCTTCTTTTGAGAATCAGGAGATAGACAGACAAACAAGGCATCTCAAATTACCAGAAAGATGCATGTTGTAAATTGGAATTGTAGGTTTAGAAAATTATTTTCGAATAATGAGTTTGATTTTTAAAGAAATCTAACATCTAAATTCACCTTCTTAAATAAAACCTATAACGAAATCCACTCTCTTCATATCCTTTGTTTTTTCTGCAATCAAATTGTAGCCAGTCAGATAATGCCCTTGTTTAGTTGAATCTATGGAGTATATTGACTGCTTAAACTTGTTTTCACCTATTGGAATGGACATTTATATCTCTTGAAGTGTATTTCAGGGCTGACGAATGGGATGTCAACAAATGGGCCTGGGAAGGGACTTTGAAAGTCATTAGCAAGGGTGAAGAGTGCATTATCAGACTTGAAGATAAAACCACAGGTTAGATTATCTTTGAATCGGTATGATGCAGAAAATGGTATTCAGTGTCTTTGTTTGATGGACTTTGCTGTGTCTGATATTTTTTATTTATTTAATTTATATAGGTGAATTATATGCACGGGCATTTTTGAGAAAGGGGGAGCTACATCCAGTGGAACCTGTAATTGATAGCAGCAGGTGAAGCCTATTTCTTACTGAATCTTAAGCTTATCTTTGTTGCAGCATTGATTTTATTGATAAGAGTAATGATCTGTGCCCTATATGCATAAAGTTAATTCATTCATTTTAAACCTGAGGTTGTTTCTTAGCTTTTTACTGAATTCCCATATAATTGTGTCTTGAGGGTATTTAAATGGACATCTTTGCTTTTGCAGATATTTTGTTCTTCGAATAGAGGAAAATATTGGTGAGCTACCATGCCTGCCTCTTGGTTCAAGTTCTATATTCAACTGAAAATTCTATTTCTATACCATTGTCGTTATCTTTTTTTTTTTTTTTTTTTTGAAAAAGAATTCCATGTGTGCAAACTCTATTTGGAACACTTGTTGTGGTGATAAGTTGGTTCTTATTCACCTATTCGCAATTATGCAGTAGATATCCACAGTCACTTACATATATTCTCATTTTGTAATATTGTCCAACAGACTTTGATTCTTATGCAAAATGGAACTTCTTACGAAGATTTAGAAAAGGAGATTAGGTGAGTGGAAGGGAGAGAAAGAGACGGGGAGGCGGGGTGGGGACCCCATTCACTGTAGCTTTATCTGTTAACTTTTTGGAATGTAACTTAAATTTTTTTAATGATGCGCAATCCCTTTCATCTGCAATCTCTAATCATGTGTCAAGAGTTTCATGTTGTTTGGATATCATTCCAGCGTTTTTTTTTTCCCCGAACATCTGTAGTTGCCTCTGAAAACTGTTAATCTTTTTCTGATGCTCTGTTCATAGTCTTTTTTTATCCCTTTTTTCTTACTCAGATTTATTTTCAATTTTGCTACTAAATTAGTTTTTTGAAATCATGCAGGTGGTCGCCTTAGGCATGCATTTATTGGCATAGGATTTAGAGAAAGAACAGAGGCTTATGACTTCCAGGCAGCACTGCATGATCATATGAAGTATGTTCAAATCCATAAATGCATTTTTTTTCCCTTTTTGTTACACAATTCATACTCCACAAATCCTGTGTAACTTTTATAGTTGATATTTTATTTTCTGTGTGTTATCATATAGAGATAAAATTACACTAGCAAAAAGTTGATTAATACTTTTATCTATTAAAGATATCTGGACAAGAAGAAAACCGCAGAAGAGATGGAACAGCATTTTCAGACAACTTCCTCAGTTGATTACAGTTTAAAAGAAGGGGAAACTCTTGTACTCCAAATAAAAAACGTAAGCCCATGTGCATCTCCATTTCCCAAATATGTATGAATACGCTATGCATCCTCATGTCTGTATTGAAATTTACTCTTTCTGGTATGCAGAAACCTAGTGGTAGTGTGAAGTCCAAGTTTTTTGAGCAGGGTTTGAACAATGTGTCATTGGAGGAGAAGAGTGATCGAAAAGAACCCTTGCTTAGCATCAGACCACCTCCACCTCCCCCAGCACCGCTTTCACCTGCTACGAGTGTGCAGAATTCTCCATCAAACTTGCCACCAAAAATTACCCTTGATGGGACTTCTACTGAAAAATCCCCAAGCTTGTCTGAGGATGAAGCAGAGCAACAGCATTTGCCTGACAACGAAAGCACACAAGATATACAAGATGATGATTTTGGAGATTTTCAAACAGCTGGGTGATAAGGACTACAAATTGACATGTTTATAATTAAATGTTTTTGTGGGGTTGGCGTTCTCAAGGGTTTAGATAGAGATCCAACTATGAGTTTTTGGTTATCATGGTTTGTGGAATATTCAGTAAATATTACCATAAGTGGAGTTTCCTTGCCGATCTCATTATGCTGCTTCGATTGATATAAAATTTTCCTTAAAAATGCAGCCTATAAGAGGGTTAATGTGTAATCAAACTACCTCAAGAATTGGACGTTTAACAAATATGTTCTAAGATCTATTGCTTGCAAGTTAAAACTACTAAAGCCTACTTTGTTGTTAGTTCAAGTTTCCCAAATATTTTCCTATATTTTTTTTTCAGAACAAATCCCTTGTTCGATAATGCGTGTAAGTTTGTTTAAAAATATTTCTTGTTGTGGAATAAAAAGAAAAAAATCCATCAAAATTATTATTCTTTATCTTCTAAACATAGAAAAAGTCATTAGTAGTGCCTCCTATGTGGATTTTTCAATTAAGTTAACAGCTCGATCAATTTTCATTGTTTTTGTTTCTTTTATTTGTTTATATTTAATTGGGCTCGACGGAAGATTATCTAACAGCTTCAACTGGATCCAAAGTACATCTATCTCTATCTTGTTGGATTTCATTCCTAGTACACGGTACCCACAAGAAAAGTCACAAGTTGCTGAGCATGACATGATCAAAGGGACCCACCAAACAAAGAAAGTTAGAAGTTACTGTGGGACCCATTGTCCTTTTTTATCTCCTTGTACGTGTCAACCAAGGAGCCGTTTCAACTTTCATGTCTGATCTTTAACTCCTTTTTTGGATTTTATGTTTTTTCTCAAAATAATAAGAAAGAAAAAAAATAGAGTTTTGGATCCACATAAACTCTGTTGAAGTCTGAAGTCTCAGCCCAAATGGAGTAATATTTACCTAAGTATTTCTATGAATGATCAAAGAGGGTTTAGGCTTCTGATGCTTAAAAAGAAAAAAAAAAAACAATTGAGGAGGTTTAGTCTTCTGGGCATCACTAAATTGGTCTTTTACACTACGTAAGTTCTCTCTCTGGCTATAATTCTGAAAATTTACAATCTTTATTTGCTTCTTTTAACTATTTGGCAAAACGTTACTCCAAAACCAGCTCTTCTTTAAAAGGGTTTTCGTTTCTTTGATCATCAACTTTTATCATAGTCTGTTTTTGGTGTAAAGTTTTGTTCTCTTGCATGATTTATTAGTCTGGTTTTTTAGGTATGTAGTGTGCACTGTGATTTTTTAATTTTTTTCTTGATTTCCAGTTTACCATATGCAGAGATAGCTCAAAATCATTAAAATTGGCAGGATTTTGGTAGTTCTTTTTTTTTTTTTTTTGATACTCCATGTTTTGAGTTATCTTCTTATTTTCAAGGAATTGCTTGATGATTTTCAACTGAATTTCAAATTTTTGGACTTTCAGGTGTGGTTTATGGATGATGTTTTTTCAAGTGGGTGTAATAATTTAATATAATTTTTATGTTTGGTCAATAAATTATTGTTCTGAAGTTTTGATTTTGAGCTTAAATTAAAAAATGTAAAATATTGATGTAAAGTTTGTTTCTGCAATTTTCTTTGTTGTGGTGATGTTTGTTTCTGGAGTTGTTTTTATATTCTTTTTTATGAATGAAAACTTAGGCCAGTGTTGCCTGCTTTCAATTAGAAGTTTAGGACATGTTATCTTGTGACTTACTAGTTTTTTTTGTGTTTATGAAAGTGACTTCTATATCTGAAGAATATAGTCCACTGAAATTGTATTTACTTTTTGTTCACTGAATTTTAGTTTAAATTCCTGCAGAGAATAGAAGCTGAGAGGACTGCAATCATAGTATTAAGATACAAAGTGGAAGAAATTTAACACCTGTTTTGAGGCTAATTTGTGATCACTATGGACCTGAAAGGCATAACATGGGTTGGTGATATTTATCAGAAGTTTGAATCTAGGTTGTTGGAAGTGGAAGAAATCATGTGCGAGGTATGTCTGTCTGACCTGAAACTAATGCCTTTATAGCTCAAAAGGCCAGTCTAAGGGCTGTATCCCTCTACCGCCGACATGGGTAGGCAGCGGGTTACAAATGGGCAGCAAGAGCAGAGCAGTTTCCTCCAAAGTTACTATTGTACTATTGGGTCTTTTTTATTAGACGAGCCTTTACCATTTTTCTTTTTCAATTATTGCCATGGAAAGAGATCATGATGATCTCCTTTGAGCCCTCACTTATGTGTGTTTCCATTCCGTGTGTTACCTATTAATTGCCTCCATCCAGTTATTGATGCCTTGATTGGTATGTTGCTGGGAATCAAGTAATTAACCGTCTAAAAGTTAGTTGTTTCCTCTGGCTACTTATATTATTTTTATCATTCTTTTGGGACAGGAAGCAGTTAAATATGTTGAAAATCAGATGCAGACTGTTAGTGATAATGTGAGGAAATTCTATTCAGATGTCGTGCAAGATTTGTGCTCTCCAGAGTTGGAGGATCCTGCAAATGGGGCAGTCTCTAAGTTGCCTGTAGATTTGGGAGCTGATGTTGGGATCTATATGAAGCCAGAAGATGGTATAAAAGAAACATGTGAAAAGGCTGATGATATGGAGCAGTTGACTGAGGATCCAAAGATGACTATGGATCCAAAGACGACTACTGATTGTGGTTCTGACCGTCTTCCACTGCGTAAAAGGATTTCTGTTAGAAGAATTTCAAGGCAACATAATAAAGGAAGTCTGCCCAATAAAAGCTCTAACTGTAAGAATGTGTCTCCAAAAGAGACATCAGGGATCACCACTCCTTCAAGTAAATATTTGATTGGATATTCATCAATTTCTGAACTTTCTGATCAAAACCTAGAAGCATCTTGTGATCAGAATACAAGACTTATAACTCCAGGGTCTGTTGAAGTTACAGAGCACTTCTCCATAGAAGAAAGTAAAAACGAGATTGAAACTGCAAGGGAACACATGCCTGATTTTTCGTTGTATAAACCATCATTGGATATGGGTAATATCACTGACACTGCCAGTCATGAGGGAACAGACAGTAGACCTTCCAGCGGCAACCTATTAGAAGAATCAGGTGAGTTTGTTGCAACCATCTTTCTGATTATTTATTTCTTCATCCTTGTAGAGTGTTCTCTGTTGACTTCTTTTTGGTAGCTGCAGGTGTTTGTATAAAGAATGGTTTGGTTTCTATGAAAGAATCTTTTGCAAATGGAAATATGCTGACTAGCAAATTTGCTTATGAGGAGGATTTCATGCCCAATTCAGGTATGCATATGTTACGTTCATGCACTTAAAAATCATCTTGATAAGGAAATCAGGAAAATACAAGTGTTTGTTGGTCATTGGTTTCAATACAAGTCCTGCTTAAAAAAGTTAATTGAGGAGCTCTGACTTGATCTATACTCAGGAAAACACAAACAAGAGAGAGAAAATTATGTTTTAACATCATATTAGAAAATGGCTCCTGGCAAAATGTTGTTCAATTTGGAAATTTATTTTATCAACCTATCAATCTGTGAGACTCTCTAGATTCTTTCTGGTATCTCGTTTCTGTACCAAAAAAGCTGCTCTATTGGTTTTATTGTTTTCATGGAAAGATTGATTGGCTTAGCTCTTAGCACTATTTAAGTTTGTTTCTGTTCATTCGTTGGTTACTACAGTAGACTTGTACATAATGCTGCGGCAAGGGTACATAAATCTTACTATAGCCACAGTTGATCATGTTCTTTGAAGTTTTAAATTAGACATAGGGACCATATACCTAGTTTAAACATTGAATAAGTTGTGTAAAACCCTAAACGGGACATCTGTTATTATGGAATGTCATGACTTAAAGTTTCTTTGCATCATCTCCTTTGTATTTTCAAGCACAATGGATTGATTTATAAACTGTATTTTGATTAATTTAGTCCTTCATTTTGTGTGCACGTGAGTGTTGGATGGTTGAGTGTGATTCCATGGATTATATCTATCTGCAAGCCTTAATTGCTGTTATAGCTAGTATCCATCTCTCTTGCCCTTCGGCCAATCATGTTCAAAGCCTTTGAACTCTAAGATCTTACATCTGAAAATATATAAAAGGGATATACTTGTTTCCTTCCCACCCAGATTGTGTAAAATTCTTGTTTGCTTTGCTAAACCATTGATTTGCCTTTGCCCTTTATGTTCGACAATTTTGAGTGTTAATTCTAGTTCTTTGGTGGTGGTTAGATGCCAAACCTTGTTATATTTATTCCTGAAAATTAATCCCATAATTTAAGCCACATTGCTTTCGTTCAATGGTGAGGTCTTGGGCTTGCGAGCACAGGGGCATGAGTTTAGAATTTTGAGACAGATTTTTTATGCAAAAATGCTGGTGGGTAGCGTTTGTTTCGGTATGCCCTCTCCCAAGATCATTTTTTTTGTGAAGCCATGACAGATTAATGGCTTATTATTATTATTATTATTATTATTAAAAATTAGGTCGAGTGATCTGTTGTTGGGTGACTTGGGTCATTTAGTATTTGAGCATTTTGTTCATTCATGTGATGAAGCTTGCATGCAAACCCAAGTGCCATGTGGGTGTGCTTTGTTTTGGTTGAAGGGAAATACATAAGATGGTATACTGAAAAGTTGGTTAAAGGTTTTAGAGGGACTGGTGGACCACTTGTTAGGGTACTTTGCCTTAAATTTATGGCCTCCTATAACCAGCTTGGACAATGTTTATATAGAAACGGAGAGGAGCTAGTTCTTGAGTGTTGACGCTTGGACCTCATTGTATCTCTGCTTCTGATTGTGTCTGGAAGAGTGTCTATTTCTGTTGAATGGCTCAATTTTTCTTAAGTTGAATGTCCTCGCTCCCCTACGATTTATTATTAATGTTAAAAACAGCTTGCACCTATCTTTAGTTTCTCTCTCTTTATAATTAAATTTCAAACATTTGAAGGAAACAAATGGAAAGAGAGAAAAAAGTTCCAAGTTATCATCACTATTTATGTTGGTACTTTTTGAATTCATTATGCAAATGCCATCATGCCAGATGAAACTTTCAAATCTAAAATTTATGACAATCAAGTTTGCTCAATTTCTAAATCAACATGGAAAATGTGCTCATGCACACATCTTGGGATTGGGGTGTTGGACCAATAACAGCTTCTCAAGTCAATCCCATTTATTTAGGCATTTATATCTTCCAAAGCCCATTTTTCTCCCAGCAAATTTTTGTTATCTGTGTATATGATTTATAAATGCTGATCTTTCCTATTGTCTTGTTATTAGTTTATATACCTACTGATGTTGGTCTAAATTTGCTGCAAGTTCAGATAAATGGGTCATAGATTCAGACGAAGATGGTACCCTCGTTGAAGAGGATATGGAAATAATCCAACAACTGGACAAGCCTAGGCTCGAGGAAACCTGTGTCTTGGTGAATGGAGATGAATTTCAGCATGCTCCTCATAATGAAGGCAAAAACAGGCCTTACAAAGTAAGTAAATCTCTCTCCCTCACTCCATTTACTGAATCAACCATCAAATTCTCTCTCATTAAGTTTCTCTGATCCTTCTTGTTTAGAAGAAGATTCGGGATGTTTTTTGTTCAAGCAAGAGGTTAGTGAGGAAGGAATATGAGCAGCTTGCTGCACAGTGCAGCAGTGATTCAAAGTCCAATCAAGAAGAGAGTATAACAAGTTTAATGCCAACTCTGTCCATAAAGAAAGCAAACAGATCCTCATCTCATCATCCCTCTGAATCAGAGTGGGAGCTTGTCTAGATACCATTAGTAATCAGTAACCAGTAACGCACCCATACGTGTATATAATTGCTGAATGGGGTGACTAGGATGTTGTGCCAGATGTTAATAATGGCAGCCGGTTTGCTCCTCCCAACCCTTATTCCCTTTATTTGCATATTCTCTTGTTTATTTATGAGTGTTGAAGTCGGTAGACGGCAGAGGAAGAGAAACTGGTAATAGCCTCTTATAATGGTGAAATTTGTGAAGTGATATATAGTTATTTTATAATGTCCTCACATTATGGGGACACAAGTTCTGTTCACATGCATTGCCTCTCTGTCTTGTGATTGCCTTAGTTACAAACCGAACCACAGATAGTTGAAGGAATTGTTTCCTTCCCTCCCTCATAATAGAACTTGTTCCTAGTGCTGCAAGAATTGTCTGTGTCTTGTGAATGCCTTAGTGTATGAAGTTTCAGTTCCTTCAAGAGCTGCAAGAATTGCTACGTTTGGATTTCTTGAATTTTGTTCCTAGTGCTAGTTAAATTTTCTAGGTTACTTGAAAGCCTAAGGGTAGCTACTACCTTTAGGCACATTACAACTCTCTGTGAAGGATACCTAGATGATTGGCAACTGATCAAGCTGGTACAAGCTAATACAAGTTGAATGATCGGACAATTCTAAACCAAGAAACGGCAAAACTCTAAATAATTCTAATCTAAGACACACAACAACTCTTGCAGACGGTCAAACAATCAAATGTCAGGAAATTGAAGTGTCCAAGACCAAGGATGCGTACAAGAGCCTGTTCCATGTATCAGGTAGACCAGGCAAACACCAATGGCTGCAATCGGGAAGAGACTTCTTTTGTTGCAGTTGCATGCCACTTTTCAAAAGCTTTTCCTGGTTTCTTGCATACAGAGCTGGATGTGCATCTCTTCTATACTCTGACAGCTTTGTAATGTTCAGGTATCTAACTGGTATTTTCATGCTTCCAATGGTTCTGTCAATAATGTCCTTCATTGGCTTAGGAAATGCATACACAAAGGATTCATCCATGATGGGTTGTGTTTCATTGTAACACTGGTGTTGTGGCGATATGCTACGAAAAAAGATCGTTGTTTTGGTCGCATCAACATGGCGATTGACCCAACGAGCCCAAGTCCTAATGCCTTTCTTAAATGCAGATTCAATATCCATCTCCTCTACTAATTTCCCTTTGTATTGAAACACATCCCACCTGCAAAATTGTCACCCACTCTGACATTATTTCTAGTTCCAATTCCACAAATGGACTAACCTGTCATTATGGTTCATCAGAAACTTACGACTTCAACTTCCCACTGTGAACCCACCAATGGCCAGTGTTGAATACCATGACATCAGCTCCTCGCCACTTCTGGGCTAAGGGTGACATTTTGTCAAGGCTTAGAATTCTGCTCCCATTTTCTTGCTTTAGTTGCACTAAAAATGGGCTCCAGTAAAACTCCACAGAGCAATTATAGTCCTGTAACAGGAAGAAAACCCTATGTTTCAAGGAAATTTTATTTTATTTTATTTTATTTATTTATTTATTTATTTTTTTCAAGTTGCTACATGATTATAATTCCAGTGATTAACTGCTAAGAATCACAAGAGGATGATAATAGCATAACAAAGTATAATCTTACCTTCGCTTTGAAGACCTTATAGACGCCGCTTCGAACATCAACAAGAGCTCGAGACGGAGGTATGGCAGAATAAAGAAGGCAAGCTAGAGATTCCCATTGGTTTCTGTTGAGGGAATCTCCTACTATTATCACCCTCTTTCCTCTAAGTCTCTCCAACATGTCTATGCCGTTAAACCTTGAATACCAATATTTGTTAAAAAGAACACAAAACATGCACCCTTTTTTTTTTTTTTTTAAAAAAAAAATAAGCCAAAAGATTGAACTAAAACACTTATATTGGTCTAAACATCTATCATGCAAGAAGCATCAAGGAGAAAAACTACAAGAGTTAAAGGAGACCAGAAGGCCTACAGAAGAAAGAAAACATACCTATGCTAACAAATAGCAATTGAAATATCAGATTGCTACCAAAATAAACCAACAAGATACCAGATTATTCTCCACAATTCATTGCAATGCCAAATGGCTACTCTAATAGACTAATACTCCACAAAATATGGACATAAACCAAACAAAATGCGTTTATGGTAAGAAATCTTACCTTGGAATGTCACAGTTTTTGGCTTCCCAGCTCCATTTCTCATATTCAAAATCTGGCCTTCCATTCCTTTGGCAACTTACCTGTTCACTGAGAAACGGACATTTCACTGCAGTATATTGAGGACCTCCCTCAGGCTCGTAAACCCATTTTCCATCAAATATATTGCACTGCACTTCTTCCACTTTCATAGGGTTCAAGTCATTCTTGATCAAGTATGTGTGCTCATTCTTGATCAAGTTCCTGCTTCCTAAGAGCTCACTAGATGTGAGATTGGGCACTAATATCGATATACCAACATTACGAAGTGATGAATGTTTAACTCTGTTCTGACCATCATTTAGAAAAATGATTAGTGCAACGCAACCAATGAAGCTGGCAAATACGCAAAGACTCCAATTTTTACCAATGGTGGAACTAGCTTCCATGGCTTTTGTGTGCTTGAGAAGTATATGGTTTGTGTTAATTTAAGGGTCAGCTACAACTAAACTGATTAACTTTATAATATGCAAAGTTCAATCCTTTTTAATGCACTTGAGTAGATATGGATATGGTAACTGGTCAGTGCAGCAGAAGCAGCAGCAGGTACAAAACAATGGTTTAGGTATGCTTGCTCTCTTAATTTTCCCAATTTGGTGAAGGGTAGATGTAACAAGAATTATTATTATTATTATTATTTATCTGAAGTAAATTATTAAATGCAATCTGCTGTTTTCATTTAAACATCATATTAAAAAGATTGAGTTTATCATTTGAATGTGTTAATAATATGATATATACATATGCAGTAATTTTCTTTTTCTATTTTTGTTATCATAATAATATGATAAAATCATCTGTTTAATTTTACTTGCTACCAGAAAAGAAAAAAACAGGAATATTCTTCATTTAGATAAATTTCTTCGGCAAGTAAAAATATTGGCCGAAGGGCCAAGAACGTTAAGAGTTTGGAGAGGATGCCACCACTTATGTTGTACAAAACTAGTTTGTTGCCTACCAAACATGCAGTTAAAATCATATCAAAAAAATTATTCTAATTTCATCACCCGTGTTAAAACATATTGAATTAAAAGTAGAAGTATTTTTTCATCTAATTTTATATTGTTTAATCAAAATTTTATATTTATTTACTTTTTTCATATATGTTTTTTAGAATTTTTCTCTTTAAAAAAACATGATCGGTTCTCTTTATGCATGAATTTTTAAATAAAAATTTATAATAATTAAAACATAAATTTAATTGAAAAATGTTTTAATCTATATATATATTTTTATATAAATTGTATTGAGAAAATAAAGTAATAATTAATATAAAAACTTGTATAAAAGTTAACAATGAAAAATAAAGTTTTATTTGTATTTAATCCAGAAGAGAAGATTATGTTTTGAATGCACATTAGGATTATATACATTTTTACACAAAATAATCAATAATTTTAGCATGAAACATGTTATTTGAAAAGCATGGTATTATTGGGTGGTTTTCTAAAAAAATTGTTTTAATTATTTTATTTGAGAGAAAAATATCCAAATATTAAATAAATAAATAGTAAATGATTGGTGTTTTATGTGTAAATTCATAATTAATTAAAAAAACTAATGATTTTTTTTATTTTATATATATATACATTATGATTGTATAGAGTGGATTAAAAAGTCCGCAACGTAAAATAAAAAATATTAAAATAATTCTTAACTTATAAAAAATATATTGAATAAATTTGAAATTTATAGACTAAAATAAAAATTATTAAAAAATAGATTTCTAAGAATAATAATTATATAAAGAAGAATTAAATAAAATAAGTAAATTTTATTTTTTTCCCTCTTATAAAATAATTTTATTTCTAGGACATATATGCCTAATCCTGGTGCACAAGTCTTGCACACATAGCAATCTTTTTTTGCTTTTTATTTTTCACTTTTAACTTTCATCAAGTTATTATTTTTTCCTAAATTTTGAGATAAATTATCTTAACTATACTTTTAGTATCTATTTCTTCCTTGTTAGACTATATGAAAAACCCAAAAAATAATTTTCTATAATTTTAGCACAAAATTCAATAATAAAAATATCAAAGATAAATTACTACCAAAAAAAAAAAAATCAAAAGCAATAAAATAAAATGAAATAAAATCAAGCTAGGCCATTGTCTTCGGTTTTGGAGAACTAGGCCCATGTGAGTCAACCTTTTTCTTAAAAAAAAAAAAAGTCGGATGACACCACTCGTATCGTGCGTAGTAGGCGACGTATCGTTTGGCTGCAAGTTTTATTGAACTTAACTTCAGCGAAAAATTTGTTGAAAAAATGGAAGTGCTAGTTTTCGGTCTATCAAAACCAATTTAAATGCCATTTTGGTCTCAAAATAACTTAAAATTATTAAAATAAGATCAATAGACTTTTTTAAAACCTCGAAGCTAATTTAATGCGCATAAAAATTCAAAAATCTAAATCAATTTTAAAAACTCAAAATGTTTTGAGGACATGAACTACCTCTTCAAACAAACTCTTTTTTTTTTTTTCGGTGAACAAATTGAAGCTAAGATCGTGATCAAGTGGTCATGAACTACCTCACCTTGACTTTCTCTCGCCTCTCTTCTTTAATTTTGTTTTTTTTTTACTCTTTATATTTAGAGATTAAACCACAATACAAATGAAGTTGAGAATCAAAATAAAATATTTTAAAAAAATTAGAGACCAAAATATAATAACTATTAAAATTTCCATATTAAATACTTGAAAGAAAACTTAAAAAATCGTAATACTACTGTTGGTGAAGGATTCCTAGGATTGTAGGTTAGCAGCACTGCTATAGTGAGAGGGTTCTCACTATTTATTGAAGAGTAAAAAGCCTAAGTGTTTTAGCTGTTTTGTTAATACTTTAGAAGTTCATATAAAGTTAGAAAATTATATATTAGTTCCTTTATTTTTTCAAAACAAATTAAATGATTTTTTTTTCAAAAATTAATTAATAATTAGTCATTTGATTAGTGTAGATCATAATTAATTCAATATTATTTTATTTCGAAAAAAGTCTTTTTTTTCTCGTAATCTTTCCATATTTTTTTTACTTTTTTATTTTTTTCTTAAAATAAATAAATAAATTAAAAAGAATAAAATGGATTAAGTTATAAATAGATTTTAAAATATAAGAATTAATTAATTAGTTTTTGAAAGTAGAGAGACTATTAACTTGCTTTTCAAAAACTAGAAAAATTAATTTACAATTTACTCAAATAGATTGTAACTTTTTGAGGAATGTACCTTAAAAAGTAAAGATAGCAATGGCGCGAGACACGACCCGTCAAATTATCATTTCTAAAGACAAAAAGGTGGAGTTGGGCGGAGATGACCATTCCCGTCCTCGTTCCGTGTCCCATTCGGAGCGTATTTCGCGTATCTACTCTTCTCCAAATGGAGCGGGGAGGGACGAGGCTCCGTCGGGGCGGGTCAACCTATTAAAAATGAAGGAAGGAAAAAAAAAAAAAAACCTTTCTAAGTTGCCCATGTGCCCTGCTTTTTAACTTCCAATCCATAATGAAGTGTGTGTGTATATATATATTTTCCTGTTGTCATAATTAAGCAGAGTAATTTATCAATTTTTCTTTAGGTTTTTTTTAAGTTTTCCATTAGTACCTAATTACATTTATTGTTTTAATCCAAAAAATAAATTTCGTTAATCAATGTCGTTTTTTCTTTTCTTTTATTTTCTTTTAAGAATGAAAACATAGCTTAAATATTAATAACTTCAGTAATCATATAGCAAGAACTTTCCAAACTGAAAATTAAGGTTTACCCTAATCATCACGTACACTTTCATGTTCTTCGTAGTAAATCCAGTCCAACTACCCTCCATGTGACGGCAATGTATCGATCTACTTGGTTAGTTTCTGTAAAAAGGAGCTCTGATATTGGCATGTATCAACATTTGGCAGGAAGTGATGATACCAAAAAAAGAATGTAATGTGTAGCAGATGAAACAGGACAGGCAGTTTGCTTAAGCAAGAGCTTCATGACCTACTGCAACCATTAGACCTCCATTTCTGTAAACTGTTTCTGACACTCATTAATGTATCGCATGAGCCCAAGTTGATCCCATATAAAAATTGAATAATTTCTCATCAGGAAACCCCACCAGCTTTCTCAAATGGATTACTTTGTTTATGGAGGGAACTACTATAAATCTCTACTAGCAAGGTTTTAGCATTTTTTACTGCAGTATGATTACTTTGTCCTCTATGCATGGTTGCAGGGATAGCATTCCCAACATTAATACACTGTTATTTCTTGCAAGGAATTAAATTAAGACTTTCATTTCTGACTGACAATATCACAAAATTGTTATAAGATATTGAATATCTGCAAATCCAGCCTGGATGATCCCTGACAACTGGTTTATAGGACTTGCAGAGTTGTAGACCTGTAATTCTTCTCTGGTTCACTGATGTTCGAGAGTTATATAAAATCATTCTTAAGGCCTCACCCAACAGCTTAAGATTTTGGGTTGAGATAGTTGTTTGACATGGTATCAGAGCTTTAATGACCAAATAATCATGAGTTCAAACCTCACCACTTTTACTTTCCCTTCTAATTAAGCACAAGGTAATGGTGTTAGAAAAAATTCCAACGTGGTCTGACTTAGTCATTTTATTGTTGCTGAAATTTCTGTTTGCTGCTATTAATTTAGTCCACTTTGTCAAGTAGTTGAATGTATAGGAGTCAAACAATAGGTGTCAATGTTTTAGAGTTTTATCGGTTAGAATTTGCAGGAAGTAACTATGTGTTTGTCATGAAAATGCCTATATAAAGGCAGCACACTTAGTGTTTGATGTGTGTCAGGTCTTATGTTCAGTATTTCATATTGAATAAGTCTTTTTAGACTCAATTCTTTTAACAAATGATAGACATGTGTAACTTTCAAGTTCAAAATACTTTCACTTAAAGAGGTGTGTTGGAGAGTTATATAAAATCATTTCTAGAGCCTCATCCAACACATAGCTTAATTAAACTTTTGCGTTAAGATGGTTCTTTGACAACAACAAGCAAAACAATCTGTTCATAGTTCATACTATTAATTAATCATTCGATCCATCTGGTATTCTTGAAATTTAATTCATGACCATGATAATTATTTCACCCATTTTCAGTATATGGAAACTATACTGCATGCAATACTATTTTTCATTTCCAGATCGAAAGAAATTACAGCACTTTTAAGGCAGATCATTTGTCTTCCATAATGGCCAAGAAAAGGAGCAAAGAAGAATTTAGATTGCATTTATTCTCTAGTGTGGGGAGTGAAGATCAGTCTGATATCAATGACTTCCAGACATGATTTTCAGGTTTGTTTGCGGGATCATGCCAATACAGAAGACTCCAATTACTGTCAAATCATGATTAAATGCTCAAAAAACATTATCTTTGGGTTCTTTCTTGTTTTGTACCATACAAACAAGCTTAGACAGTTAAGAAAATGTTTAGCCGTATATCAGAGCAGATTGCACGGTACACTACTGCTTCGGACATCTAAATAATATGCAATTTGCCGGTTACTCTAGGCATCGGAGATGTCTTCATCTTCCAAAACAACTGCATATAGATTCATAAAGCAATCAAATAGGAACATTAGCATAGTATATATACAGGTTTGCTGCATTTCTGCAGCTCATTCATTTCTAATTAATACAGATTCACTACAACATATTGATAAACAATGGTTTCCGTATGCAAAAGGCAATTTTTCTTTGCATTCATCCTCATTTTGGGAATGTGGGCTTATCAAGTTACTTCCCGCGAGCTCCAGGAGTCATCCATGTCTGCCAGGCATGAGCAATGGATGTCAACACATGGAAAGGTATATGCAGATGCTGCAGAGAAAGAAAGACGGTTCAAGATATTCAAGGACAACGTTGAATACATAGAATCATTCAATGCTGCTGGAGAAAAACCGTATAAGTTAAGTGTTAACAAATTTGCAGACCAAACCAATGAAGAGTTCAAGGCTGCCCGTAATGGTTATAGGAGGCCACTTCAGACAAGGCCAATGAAAGTAACAGCATTTAAGTATGAAAATGTTACTGCTGTTCCTGCTACCATGGACTGGAGAAAAAAGGTGCTGTTACTCCTATCAAGGATCAAGGCCAGTGTGGTAAGTTTAATAGGTTAATATTTTTTATCCGTCCTGATTGTTCAAATTTTCAGATTAGATGATTTCCTAATATGGTAACAGATTTTTCTTTTTTCTTTTTTTCTTTTTTTAATGAGAATATGGTAACAGAATAGCTGAGGCCAAATGTTTAAGGTTCAAATTCTAGAATATCCTTCGCATGAAAAATAATTCCTAGAAACACAATATTTAGAATTAATCTTGTCCTTCGAATATTGTTGCACAATTTGATTTCTATCAAGACATGAGCATGCTTATAGTTGGCAGGCCCAAATTTTTACTGTTGCACCAAGCAATGCCATTGCACCCTTACCACTGCTTTTATGCTACCAACTGAATCTTACTTAAGTATTAATGCCATTACGCCTGCTGATTTTGTTTGGGGCAAAAACAGGCAGTTGCTGGGCCTTTTCCACTGTCGCAGCTACCGAGGGGATCAATCAACTAACCAAAGGTAAATTGGTCTCCTTATCTGAACAAGAGCTTGTTGACTGTGACACCAAAGGTGAGGATCAAGGGTGTGAGGGTGGTCTCATGGAAGATGGTTTTGAATTCATAATCAAGAACCAGGGCATCACAACTGAAGCCAACTACCCTTACCAGGCAGCAGATGGAACATGCAACACGAAAAAGGAGGCATCCCACATTGCCAAAATCACTGGCTACGAAACGGTTCCTGCTAACAGCGAGGCGGCATTATTAAAGGCGGTGGCCAACCAGCCAATTTCAGTTTCCATTGATGCTGGGGGCTCTGACTTTCAATTTTATTCAAGTGGTGTTTTCACAGGAGAATGTGGAACTCAGTTGGACCATGGTGTTACAGCAGTTGGTTATGGTAAAACCAATGATGGCACTAAATATTGGCTAGTTAAGAATTCATGGGGCACTAGCTGGGGTGAGGAAGGATACATAATGATGCAGAGAGACATAAAGGCCCAGGAAGGTCTCTGTGGCATAGCAATGGACTCTTCTTATCCAACTGCTTAAGTATTATAGACATGGACTCCTCTTATTCAACTGCATGTCTAATTATATATATAGCCATGGTAGCCGTGGCAGTCTTTGTGACTATGTTCATTCCCTTGTGTATAAATGCTTTGTAAAAGCTCCCATTTGTAAATCAAGAATTTCAAGAAGTTTGGTCATCTTTATATATATATATATATATATATATGTTTGGAAACTAGACTTAGCTAGAGAGTTAGCTACATAATTCTTTTCTCTTCGAATATGAGAGAAGGAAACATATTTTAAACAAAATATCAAATTAAAAATATCATTAAAAATACTCTAAAGTTTTTAGGATATAGCAGCTGAAATTTTGTGCATCCAAGGAATGACGTTGGCTGAATTTGACTCGATAACGTGGACTTGATTTAATTTTCAAGGCTTTTAAATCCTTAGCATCTCCACTTCATTTGAATCTTTTATCTTCGCTGGAGCTAAAAAAGTACATATAAAATTTCAAAAATGATCTCGTAATACAGTACTACCAACACTATAGATTCCAAGTTTGCCCAACAAAGATCCATCTACATTCCACTTCAAAGAGCTAATAGGAGGAGAACCTAACTAGCTGCAGCTAGCTCTCCGGGGTGAAATTAGTCCACATCTTTATACCATCAGAACTTGTAATTAAGTTTGCTTGTCTTTATAGTTCCAACAACTTCTTTGATAATCCACAAAGCACATGTGGTACCATGGATATAATCGGTTTCTTTCTGGATTAGCATCACTGTAAAAACAGATAGCTGTAACAACCATATAACAAGAAACAAAAAAATTGTTTATGGAGATTAATGACTCTAATTAGACAGAAGTAAAGATGGGGAATAATGATCGAGTTTAGATGTGTGGTTTGGGTACAACTATTGTCTTTTCTCAGCATGGTCGTAAAATTATACACGATGTTATGTGGGTTCCTAGTCTGACTCAGAACTGTTGAGTTTGGGTCAATTAATGAAGAAAGGGTACTATACTGTCTTTGATAATGATTAATGCTAGAGTTTTTGCAAAACAGAACATGAATGTGATTTATTTAGTTAAAATGACTGAAAACAAAATGTTCCCTCTTTATTTTTCAAAACTAAGTATCAATGCATTTAGTGCATCTAGTGATGATCTTATGTTATGGCATCAAAAGTTTGGTCATTTGAATGTTGATGGACTAACCTTATTATGCAAAGAGAATATATTAGCTGATCTTCCATAGATTAAAGGAAAGAAACAGCCATGTGATGCTTGTATTTTAGGAAGCAACATCGAGAAAGTTTTCCAGTAGGCAATGCTTGGAGAGCCACTAAAAAGTTGATGTTAGTGCACACAGATATATGTGATCCGATGAATACACTCTTCTTGAATGGGAAGTAAATATTTCTTGATTTTTTGTTGATGAATTTTTGAGAATGACCTGGGTTTATTTTTTGAAAGAAAAGTCTAAAGCTTTTAACTGCTTTAAGCAATTGTTGAAAAGGAAACTGGTTGCTCTACTATAAAATTATGTACTGATCGTGGAGGCGAGTTCACATCCATAGAATTTGAAATGTTCTACAATGACCATGGAATTCAAAGGTGATTCATAGCCAGCTATACGCCTCAATAGAATGGGGTAGTAGAGTGTAAGAATAGAACTGCTGCAGAAGCTACAAGAAACATGTTAAAGGAGAAAGAGCTTCCAAAGAAGTTTTGAGGCTGAAGCAATAGTTGTTGTAGTTTACTTACTGAACAGATTTCTAACTCCATCTATCCAATGAATGACACCATATGAAGCTTGGCATGGGAGAGATCCGCTGTAGCTTTTGCTTTTTTACCTTATGAGTTAAGAATTAAACTGGAAGATAAGAGCATAAAGTGTATTTTTGTTGGCTATAGTGAAGAACCTAAAGGTTACAGGCCCTATGAATCCAAATACTAACACGTTATTTGTTAATCATGATGTTGTATTTAACGAAAATGAAGTCTGAAATTGGGAAATTGCCAGCAAAAATGGTGGAAAGAAGAATGACTCTTGGTCCATTTGGACTTGATGGTACAAATGAGACTCCTTCATCCTCTCCAAGTTCTACACCAGGAAGGATGAGAAACCTTGATGAAATTTATGCTTCTTATGAATATACTTGGTTTGCCATGGAACCAGCTTGTTTTGAAGAAGCGAGATGAGAAAAAGGAATGGTGTGAGGCAATGAAAGAAGAACTTATAGCCATTAAGAAGAACAAGACATGATTAATAAGTTTGCAGAGTCGTGTACCTTTATTGAATGAAAAACTAAACTTAAATACAAGAAGGTACTCCTTTATCATAGGAGAAAATCTTTAACAAATCAAGTAACAGCCTATAAATAAAGGAAGAAAAGAATGAAGAATAAATCAAATAAAGGAAATGGTCAAATAATAGTTCAAGCAAGCTAAGCAGAACACGTGTGTGTTGATACCCCCCCTCAAGTTAGACATAGTGGAACGACTAACTTGGTAAGATTACGATCAAAAGCTGGCTTTGGCAAAGCTTTGGTGAGCGAGTCCGCAAGCTGATCGGTAGCATGGATGTGAGCAACGAGTAAGGAGCTTGCATTGTACTTGATCTTTGACATAGTGAAAATCAACGACCAGTGTGCTTCATTCGGATATGAAAAACTCGGATTTTCACACGAGTAAGTGACCCCAATATTGTCACAAGTAGATGATGGGCGACTTCGGAAGTGGAATGCCAAGCTTAAAGAGAAGATTTTTGACCCAAGTTGTTTCAGCTAGAGCACTAGCAACTACACGATACTTTGCCTCGGTGGATGAGCGTGCTATAGTTGTTTGCTTCTTGGAGGACCAACTGATTGGATTTTGACCTAGAAATTGCGAGATAACCTATAGTAAAGATACGATCATTAACATCTCCCGCCCAATCCGCATCGGAGAACATTACCGGATTTAAGGCCGCACTTTTCCTTAAACAGAGACTATAGTTCATGGTGCCTTTGAGATACCTAAGGATCTTTTAACCGCCTTCCAATGTAGTTCGGAGGGAGCATGCATAAATTGTGAGAGCTTATTTACAGAGTAGGATATATCCGGCCTTATGAAACCGAGATATTGGAGTTTGCCAACAACTTGTCCGTATTTGGTAGCATCTCGCAGTGCGAGCCATCGAAACACGATACCGCTCGGAGGAGCTCATGGGTGTCTTGGCAAGATTACAATTATGCATATTTTCAGATTGAAGAACTTCGATAATATATCGAGTTTGAGACATGAAAAGACAATTTGGACGACTTAAGACTTCAACACCAAGAAAGTAATGGAGATGGCCAAGGTCTTTGATGGAAAAACAATTGGCAAGGGAAGAGATAACTCGTTGAACCATCATGTTATCACAGACAGGTGACGATAATGTCGTCCACATAAACTAGAATATAGACAAGTGATAGCGAAGCATGTTTGATGAACAGAGAGCTATCGGACTCAAATTTGAAGAAGCCCATGGAACGGAGATAAGCCCCGAGTTCATTATACCAAGCACGAGGGGCCCGCTTGAGACCATAGATAGCCTTCTTGAGTCCGCCAATATGAGAGGGATACGGAGGATTTTCAAAGCCTAAAGGTTGAGTCATATAGACTTCTTCATCAAGACGACCTTGAAGGAAAGCGTTGTTAACATCAAGTCGGCGGATTGGCCAATTATATTGAACAAGAAGAGACAGAACCACTCGAATTGTCGTTGGCTTAACGACCGGGCCGAACGTTGAGTGGTAGTTGATCCCAAGCCTTTGGGTGAAGCCCTTTGCTACAAGTCGGGCCTCGTAGCAGTCAATGGTGCCATCCGACTTCCTTTTAAGCCTATATAACCATCCGCAAGCCACAACATTGTTAGATGGATCATGTGGTACAAGCTCCCACGTTTGGTTCTTAATTAATGCATCAAACTCTACTTTCATAGTCGCATGCCACTTTGGTTTGTTATTTGCTTGGTGAAAGGTGTGGGGAGGGGCATCGGTGTGAACTTGGGCCATGTAGTCAAAATAAATTTTTGGTTTATGAATGTGATTTTGAGAACGTGTAACCACACCTTGAGAGGAGGATTAGGGAGCACTTTGGTTTGCTAGTTGTGAAGCAAGAAGAGTAGTGGTTGCGAGAGGATGGACCTAAGGCCTGGAGGGGGTGGATTTGGGGGAAGGCCCCTAGAGTAGACTAAAAGTGGCGTGGGTGGTGGTTGAGATGACGTGCGGGATGGTGGGGATGAGGGCATTTGAGGTGCGGAAAAATGGGGGTCGGTGGTGGCGGGGAGGGGCGAGTCGGCGGAAGCATGTGTGGAAGTGATGAGCAAGTCTACTCGGAGCGATTGCTCGTTGGGGAACGACATGAGTTGTCGTGGGGTCGAGGAGTGACTCGGTCCAATGTCGAAGGTAATGGCAAGGTGCGGGGTAGTGAAGATGACGTTGGAATGGGGTTAGGCGGATCCGAAATTGGAGTGAGAGCTACATGAACGGGATTTGCGTATCCGATATGAAAGTGGGTATTTGGACGAGTGGGTGAGTGGACATTTGTGAGGTTTTGTGTAGGTGACGTGAGGACAAGTCATCCCATGCTAGATTTTTAAATTTATTAGGAAGTTTTGAAAACATGATTTTGAAGGGAAATACATTTTCTACAAAAATCACATCACGAGACAAATAAACTTTAGACTTAAGAGGGTCAAAGCATTGATGACAATGGTGAGTGAGAGAGAAGCCCAAGTACACACAAGGTGTGGATCTCGGTTCAAGCTTGTTTTGAGAATATGGCTTGAGCCATGGATAACAAAGGCACCCAAAGATTTTTAAACAATGATAATCGAGCTTTTCTTGGAACAACATTTCAAAAGGAGATTTATTGTTTAGGATGGAGGTTGGTAGACGATTTATGAGATATACCTGCATGGTGACAAGCAAATGACCAAAGATGATATGGAAGTGAGGCTTCATATAGTAAGGTTCGGTTATTTCTATGATGTGATGGTGATGACGTTCAACGAGTAGCGACTCTTTGCGGAGTTTAGGGAGGAGTAATTAAATGTTCTATCCCATTAGAACTTAGATATGAATTTAGACTCGAAACTCACCACCTCCATCAATGTAAAAGGATAATATTCGAGAATGAAAATATTTTTCCATTAAAGGATGAAATTTTTGAAAAATTCCTTTTACTTCACTTTTGGTTTGTAGAGTGTAAATCCAAGTGTATTTCGTGTATTGATCAACAAATATGCAATAATATAATTTTTTGTCAAGTGAAAAAGCTGGAGAGGGTCCCCATAAATTGTTGAAAATTATTTGAAGAGGTTTGGAACTCGGATAAAGTAAGGCTCGCAAATGGTTGTCGATGAGATTTATTTGATAAACAGGAATTACAAAAATGAAATTTGTCTCGCGCGGAAATAGGAATGGAAAAATTAGTTAAAAGAAATTTTAAAATTCTAGCATGAGGATGTCCAAGTCTACGATGCCATGTTTCAAAGGAGTCATGTTGGGATGCCATGTGAGCTTGTGGGGAAGGTGATGAAGAAATAGTAGGCCACTCGTACAACCGATGTCTACTCCGACCGTGCACCAACGGTGTCCGCGTTGCTAGGTCCTTAACAAGAAAAGAATGAGGAAAAAATTCCACAAACATTAGGTTATCTTTACAAAAATTGAAAACTGAAATTAAATTGTGTTTAATTTGAGGGGCACATAGAGTATTGGACAACTAAAAAGCAATGTTAGATGCATATAAATGAGTTGAACCACTCGTGAGTAATTGGAATTTTGTTACCATCTCCCATTGCCACTCCTTCAATTCCATTGTATTCGGGCATATTATGTGGCTCGGTAGTAATGTGATGCGAGGCACCGGTGTCTAGAATCCATGGGGTAGCGAAGTCCGATAGCCGACAACGAAATATGCCTTAGCCTCAAGATGATTATGAGACTTGGTGCGACAAATAGAGGCAACATGACCGAGTCGATTGCGGAGTCGACATTGGACACCATTGTTGATGGTGTGAGGATGGGGTGGACGCCATTGATTTGGTGAATTGTACCCGTTGTTGGGGCGCCATGCTCGGATAGGATCCGGTGTAGTTGTTGGGAGAGCGACGGGTATTCCGATTGTTACGATTTGGTAGCATGTTGTTGGTGTTCCCGTAGGCAATAGCTGCCGTTATCTGGGATGAAGCCTCGCCGTCCTTGATGGCAAAGAAATATTTCATGATCAAGGAGCTTTTCATAAAGCTCAAGATATTCAATAGGAATATCTGCGGTTACGGATGGCCGCGATTCTTCAAGAAAATCGGGACCAAGGCCATTGAGAATTTTGATTGTGAGTTCGCTCGACCACTCGGAGATCCAACGAGTTGCAAGCTCGTCTCCAATGGTATGGATATGATGGAGATATTCGAAGATACTTTTGTCGTCTTTGGTGATGCGACTAAGTTGGTCTCGTAAGCTATAGATCCGAGTGTGGCTTTTATTGGCATAGGTGGTGTGTAGAAGGGACCATGCTTGCTCGACATTGGATGCGGCGGCAACGATGGAGGCAATGGTACTATCAACGAAGCCATCATTGCTTTGGTGAATGAGGCGATTTTGACGAACCCGCAGGCGATATGCCGGGTCCGGTTCGGCTTGTGTTGTTGCGAGAGATTGTCTTTCGTTGGGCAAGGTGTAGAACCATCAAGGTGACTAGCTAGTTCATGGCCATCAGAAGCGGCGTTAATTGAGTTTTCCAAGTAGAGAAATTGGAGCCGCCTTGTAATTTAATAGGCAATTGCGAAGACGGATTAAACCGAACAATATGTTTGTTGGTGTTGGTATTATCGACATTGAGAACGGAAGGTTGCCGGGCGGTGGAGGTCATTGTATGAGGAGGGGGCTGATTTGTGCGTGAGGCGAGAAAAAGAAGAAGAAGAAAAAGATCAAACTCGTATGAGTACTATTAGCTCCGATACCATAATAAGTTTGCAGAGTCGGATACCTTTATTGAATGAAAAACTAAACTTAAATACAAGAAGGTACTTCTTTATCATAGGAGCAAATCTTTAACAAATCGATAATGTACCCATAAATAAAGGAAGAAAAGAATGAAGAATAAATCAAATAAAGGAAATGGTCAAATAATAATCGAAGCAAGCTAAGCAGAACACATGTGTGCCGATAATGATCACCGATGGATTTACCGGAGGAAAAAGAAGCTATTAGTCCGAAATAGCCCTTTAAATCAAAGTACAATGTTAATGGATCATTGCAATGACGGAAAGCCAAACTTACGAGTAAAAGGACGCTCATAAATCCCAAATATTGACTTCATAGAAACCTATGCTCCTATTGCTCTTTTTGACTATTAGAACTTTTTCAGCTTTGGTCGCTCAAAATGGCTAGGTGGTCTATCAATTAGATGTGAAGTCCGTATTTCTTAATGGTGATCTTGTTGAAGATGTGTTTATTGATCAACTATAAGGTTTCAAGGCGAAAGTAGAAGAGCATAAAGTTTATAAATTGCACAAAAAGCTCTATGAGCCTAAACAAGCTCAAAGAGCTTGGCATGACAAGATTGATACTTTACCGAAAATGTTTTTAGAGGAGCCCCTCGACCCAACTTTACATGTGAAAAATGTTGACAATGAATTTTTAGCTTTATGTTTATATGTTGATGATATCTTTTAAGTTGGAAATTCTACTCACTTGGTGGATGAATTTAAAAATTCATTGATGATAACATTTGAGATGTTTGATATGGGTATTTTGTATTATTCCTTAGTTTAGAAGTTTTGCAAGATTAAAATAGAATTTTCATTTATTAGAAGAGATATACCGAGAACTTATTGAAGACGTTTGGTATGATAGATTGCAAACTAGCTAATACTCCATTAAATACTATCAAGAAGCTTCCATTGAATGATGAGGTTGAAAAAGTAGATGAGAAACAATTTAGAAGTCTAGTTGGAGGGCTTACGTATCTTATCAATACAAGACCGGATATTATGTTTGCAGTCATTCTCATTTTCGGGTTCATGCACAATCCTAGCAAGCATCATTTTGGAGTAGCCAAGAGAATTTTGAGATATATTTAAGGCACAACAAGATTCAGCATAAGGTACAACAAAGGAAACTCATTTAATCTTATTGGTTTTACTCGACGGTGATTGGACAACCTATGCGAGAGGATAGGAGAGGCCCAACTTGTTACATTTTTAGTCTTAATTCATGAGCAATTTCCTGGACATCAAAAAAAGCAAGAGTCTATTGCCTTATCAAGCACTCGAAGCAAAATATAGCACCTCAACAATAGCATGTCAAGCCATTTGGTTGCTGAAAATCTTGAAGGATCGAACCACAAGCAAGAAAAACCTATGGTGATCTTCTCGTGACAACAAATCAACCATTACAATGTCCAGGAACCTAGTTTAGCAAAGAAGAACCAAACATATTGAGATAAAGCACCACTTTATCGGAGAACTTATTGCCAAAAGAGAGATTGAGCTGTAGTATTGTAACACCGATATACAACTAGCCGATATATTCTCAAAAGCCTTGCCGAAAAATCAATTCAAGAAATTCAGATCGATTATTGGAATGAAAGGCCATGTTTGAATTAAGGGAGGAAGTGTTGGAAATAACTCCAATGTGCTCGACTTGGTCATTTTATTGTTGCTGAAATTTATGTTTGCTATTATTAATTTAGTTCACTTTGTCAAGTAGTTGAGTGCCTATAGGAGTCAAACAATACGTGTCAATGTTTTCGAGTTTTATCGGTTAGGATTTGTAGGGAGTAGCTATGTGTTTGTCTTGAAAATGCCTATCTAAAGGTAGTGCTATATAAAGGTAGCACACTAAGTGTTTGATGTGTGTCGAGTTCTTATGTTCGGTATTTCATACCGAATAAAAATCTTTTTAGACTCAATTGTTTAACAAATCGTATAACTCGTGCAAGTTTCAAGTTCAAAAGACTTTTACTTGAGGAGATGTGTTAGAGAGTTATATAAAACAATTTCTAGAGCCTCATCCAACACATAGCTTAAAATTTTGTGTTAAAATAATTCTTTGACAACCGACAAGCAAAAAAATCTGTTCATAGCTTATTCCGTTAATTAATCATTCGATCCATCCGGTATTTGATGGGTGTCGTATTGCAACAAAAAATAAATTACCTAACTTCAACTTTCTAAATACGGATAGGATGAGCAAGGGTCGATCCATAGGGAACTAGTTAATCAAATCTTAGACAAAGAAAGGGGAGTTTTGCTTTGCTAAATGAATAGATCTAAATCAATTAAGACAAATCAATTAAGAAAATATCGATTCAAGGGAATGACTCACGATTGTAAACTAATCACCAACCATATATATGTATAGGCACATATTTTTCATTCAAATAATTAACTAAAGATTATTAATAAGCTTCACAATATTTACCTTCTCTAATATCATTAATCTAAGCCTAGCACCCAAACTAAATCTTATCAAACTAACAATTGGTATTAAGCAATCCTCATAAATAGATTGATAGCATGATTCGAATTAAGGAATTAAAGATGGATAACAATTTAAGAAGC